TGAGGAATAGTTGATTTAAAAAATGTGAGTGTGTGGTGGCATGCACCGCCATGAACTGGGTTATTAAGTGAGGAGTGTAAAGAACTTCAACTTCCGAGAAGCTCCTATATATCTCAATATAATGTGGCGTGTTGCCTTTCTCTCTCGATCTTTTTCCTCCACGCGTGATTCAGGCTCATCATAGTCCTGCTTTTCATGTAAACGTGTAGTACTAGTTTATTTGTTTAATCAACGCTGAATGAATTAAAAGCTATACCAGTCATATTCTTCCAAACAAACGCGTTTTATTTATTTCATTATTTTTCTTGAATGCTAACACACACATGCATATGGAAGGAGCTGAGGGAGATCACCACGGACGGAAAAGAGAAAGCTTAGCTAGCTAGCATTAGTAGTGTACATGATGATATAAGCTGGACGACTTGAATTGACCGGATATATTAAGTTTATTCATATAATAGCTAGATAGAAGCTAGAAAAGGGATTTTGAGAATGAGTAGGAGGAAAAGCGTTGATAGGTATGATGAATCACATCATAAAAAGCAGAAAGGGCTTGTTCACAAAGATGGATGTGGAGCAGAGCAAGGCTGTTTGCGTGAGGATAATTAGTTGCTTAGGGACAACAAATATAACACTCATCCCTAGCAAGAGATATATATCATTCATGGGATTTTGCCCCTCTCTCTCGTATCCTTTAATTTTATTTTTATACACACACACACACAGAGCCAAAGCTCCAAGCTAAGCTTGATTGCAATTTTTTTTAATTCCTTCATCGTGAAAAGGATGGCCTCGTATATGTTGTGAATTGTGAGGTTCATGGTGTCATGAACTCATGCATGCACGTGCCACTCCTCCTTCCCATGAAATTTTTAACCTTTATTAATTTCTCCACTGTCAAAGTGAAGGAATGTGGGGACACACGCCATCATGATTTTCCAGCTAATTAAAAGCTCACCGGTCATATAAACGGCTCGAAAGGTATGTATTGTATGTGAACTGGAGCGATCGCTTCGGGAAATAAGTTAAAAACCTTGACTAGCTGGCCACTCATACGTCGCTTGATTTATTAAGTCAACAACACCTAGTGCAAACGCCCTATCAATAGCTAGCTAGCTAGCTAGCATCAAAGTATGAACCCACGAGGTGCTTAGTAGATACTTAACTATCAGTACTGTTCACGATACACCGAAAGTTACGTTACATATGCCCTTCAATCATTCCTGAGCTCTCCGTGCGCCAATGAAGTACTATTTTGTATATGATTAGCTCGGGAATGCAAGTTCATGAACTTTCATATTGAAAGGTGGAACTCTACGTGTAATTGGAACATTGGATAATAACTGCCAACAAGGTGCTAATTATATATTGCTGTACCCAGAGAACCCTGTGGCTATGCAGATTATAATTAAGCACACTACGTACGTACTATATATATGCTTCTATATTTCCTTTTTAAATATAAGAGTTTTTAAATATTTAAGGAACTCTCTATATTTCTTTGTTTTCATTGCAAGCAAAATTACAAATTTTAGAAAACATTAATTACAATTTTTTAAAATTGTCCATTATAAATAGTTAGCATCATTAACTTAGAGGAAAAATAAAAAATTAATCACAATGGCATTTTAGTCCAAACATTTTAATTTTAAATATAATTATTATGATAAATTAATTTTTTTTAACTGTATGAGTTGGTTGAAATCCTCCCATACTTGAAAATGGAAGGAGGGCATGCATCTCTTTGAATAATTTGCATACAAATTCATTACTTTGCCATGAAATAACAAGCAATATCATAATAATTTTTTATGAAGCAATATGTCTCTTGATTTTCCATTTCTCCTTTTTTATGCATTAGCATATATATGTACATAGTCATGAATATAAGTTTAAGTGAGTGGAGTCTCGAAAACTCATTAACAGGTTGGGGCATGTCTCTAAGCATGTACAATAGTATATTTTTATTACCCAACTATGCACTCTATTTTGTATATTTATTGGAAGTAAAATAAGAAAGATTAATTTTTTGAAACACAAAATCATTTCTTACTTCCTCCGATCCCTATTATATTGCACTTTTAACTATTTGAATGAAATCAAGTAGAGGTGGTCAAGGCATTAAAATTTTCCAAAAATAAAATAAACTTCTAATTTTATCCATGTATAAATGAAAAAAATTAAATTTATATCACATTTTTTTCTCATAATTAATAAATTTTTCACTATTAGATTAATGAATTTAAATGAAAATAATATTAAAAAATATAATTAATACCATAATATGTATTTTATATTAAAGATCAAATAATCCTTACAAAAGACATCCTATAACAAGGATACGAGGTAGAATGTATCTAGCCTCATGTATTGATCATCGGCTTATCTTTTAGAAGCTTCATTTGATACTCCTTTCGTTTAAAAATATAAGCGATTTTTTAAAAAATTAGATATTTAAAAATATAAGGTATTTTTAATCTTTTGAGGTATAATTATTGCCCCTATTAATAATAAATTTAAAAATGTATTATTTTATTAGAGAGTGAGATTCAATTAAAAATACCTTATATTTTTGAATGAATTCTAACCATACACCTGCTTCATTTATTGTTATTTTTTAAAAAATAATACATTAAAATTTTAATTGTTGTTATTAAAACACTTATATAGGGAAAATATGTAAATTTTTTTAAAGTAATTAAGATTTTAATTAACACTTTTTTAATCACCATAAGTTAATTATCAATACTTTATATTTTAGAAGAATGATTGTTAGGTCTTATAATATTGAACTAATGATAGTTAAGTTCCTAATATTTTTTTTGAACAACAAGTTAAAAATATCGATTCAAATTATTATAAATTTAAAAATTTTAATTACAAATAAATATTTATAATTGTAATAGAAATTTTTATCTGTAATTATTTAAATTAATATTTATAATTTATTTTGTAAAAAATTTATTAATAATATAACCACAATTAACTCATTCCTTTAGAATGTAATTGTCATTCATGGTCAGGGAAGAATAATATAGAACTGTAATTTATTAATTTATAATCGGCTTCTGAGCATGTCGGTAGAATAGCAGCAAATTTTACACGTATGAAAATTCGAGGGAATTCATCGACTTTCGCGATTGGGTAGGAGAATGTAGCTGGCGAGGTTGGTGTTAATCAATTTTTAAATTTTTTTGTTCTTGGATGAGAAAAATTAAGAACAAAAAGGGATGAGGTCGAGATTTTTTTGTGTGTTTGGCTGGGAGGTTAGAGAACAGGTGAAGCTAGGATTAAATGGGGACCGACACGTGTCAATGGGCAAATGATATGAAAGTCGCGAGTGGGCACCAAAAAGGTCGCCATCCCCGAAGGGCGAGGGCACTCGGAGGGCTCGTCCCCTCCACGTGGGCTCTGGTGGGCTTATCCTAGTCAGCACTAGGCCGCCACGTGAGCACCACCCTTTCCGCTCAATTTTTGGTCCCAGAACAATTACTGGAGGATTACATGTCACCTTCGCTGCTGATTCCTCATAATACAATTATTATTCTTTGACGTTGCTCGCTACTCATCGCTCAGTACACACGTCAAGAGAGTCTCATCCCATCAATCTTAACCCCTCCAGTGCAAATCTCATGACTGAAACACATAAACTTCATTTAAATCAATAATCCACACACACATTTTATGGGGCCAGCTCCATGAAATAATCCCGAACCCCTGCGAGTCTCTCATGTGGCACCAACCTAACTGAAAAAAAAAAAAATATCACAGGATAAAAAGATAAAAAGAAAGCCTTGAGCTTCATGAGTATCATGCTATATTGATATGATTTTTTTTTTTCCAAAAACTGATCAGTGTGTGTCTTATGTGATGTAAATATATATTACGAAAATGTAATTTTTAATCTTTAAAATTTTCAATAATTATTGACTTCTTAGGTCCTATAGCTTTAAAAAAAAAAACCTAGTCCCTATTAGTCACGGACCTAGAAAAATTTAATAGTAAAGGCAAAATTTTTACTCAAAAAAAATATTTATTATTTTTTAAAATATTTAAAATTAAATAAATTTGTTTTTTAAAATATCATTCCTTCTATTATACCTTCTATTCTAAAAGAAATTTTCTTTTAGAAGATGGGGCAATTGACATATTTTTTATCATTATATCTAATTTTTTCTAACATAGTGGGAACAATTGCCTCCATAAACCTTAAACTTGGCACGCCTCTAGCTCTATAATTTATTAACTCAAAATAACTCAAATCTTATAATTTTTTTAGTTAACAAGACTCAATTTTTACACTTTATTCACTCAAAAACTATAAAAATTAAATTATAATAAGTCAAAATCTAAAAACTAAATCAATAATTGAGAAAAAATTTAGGAGTTAAAAACTATATTATCTTGTATATATTTTATTGTAAAAAAACTAGTAAAAAGTCAACAGTGAGAGTCTTGTTCAGTTGTTTGTAGCAAGAAAGGAACCACAAACTTTAGGGGTGGGTTTCTTTCATTTATCATTTATCTTCATTGTCTCCCCACTACAAATCTAGATCTTTTAAATTGAATCTATACTTTTAAAAATTATTAGATTTAAATTTGTAAACTTAATTTAATAGTCCAGATTTTTTCTAATTTCTCCACTCCTCTCCTCTGCAAAGAAAATCCAACCCCAAGTTTTCAACGAGAATATATTCCCACATTTTTGTTTATTGTTTATGAACACCCAAAAAAAAAAAAAGTTAAATGGTCATGGTTGAGTAATTTATGGAGAAGCTCAAAGTGGTAGGGTCTAATAAAATAATAACCAAGGAGAACATGTCCCACTAAAATTTTAAATATATGTAGTGAAAAAATAAGATGAGATTATATGAACTCACAAACATAATTCATATTCAAACTCACAATTTAAATAATTTTTGCAATGCTCAAGCTTTCCTATTTAAGGCCTCCGAACCTCTCCTCCTTCTTCGTACAGTATCCAAAATCCCAACATTTTTCTTCATATCATCCAACAAATCCCAAGCTCACTCTCTCTTTCAAGCACACTACAAAGTCCTTCTCAATTCCTCATTTGCTCAAATTACCAGAATGGATAACTTGTTTCGCCTCCTCGATCCCCAAGACACGTCCTCTCGACGATGCATTTGGGTCAACGGTCCTGTCATCGTCGGAGCCGGACCTTCTGGTCTCGCCACGGCCGCTTGCCTCAGGGAACAAGGCGTCCCCTTCATGGTTCTCGAAAAAGCTGATTGCATCGCCTCGCTCTGGCAACGCCGGACCTACGACAGATTAAAGCTTCACCTTCCCAAGCAATTCTGTCAGCTCCCTAAACTTCCATTTCCTGAACACTACCCTGAATACCCCACCAAGGGGCAGTTCATCGACTACCTCGAATCCTATGCCAGGCATTTCGATATCAACCCTCGTTTCAATGAGTGCGTCCAGACCGCTAGGTACGACGAGACCAGCGGCTTGTGGCGGGTCAAGACTGTTTCCTCCGCTGGCGAGATGGAGTATATTTGCCGGTGGCTAGTGGTGGCCACGGGGGAGAATGCCGAGCGTTTCACGCCTGACATTGAAGGGTTGGGCGAATTCAAAGGCGAAATCGTTCACGCCTGTGAATACAAGTCAGGGGAGAGTTTCAGGGGAAAGAAAGTGCTCGTTGTTGGCTGTGGCAATTCCGGCATGGAGCTCTCACTCGACCTCTGCAACCACAGTGCTTCTCCTTCAATGGTTGCTCGTAGCTCGGTGAGTATCAATTTGGATTGGTTCTCGGTTTTCTCTGAGATGTAGTAATAAAAAAAATATTCGTTTCACTGGGATGAAAAAATAACAACGGAGTTTCCTCTGTTTTTGGTGTACAGGTTCACGTGCTGCCCAGACAAATCTTTGGGAAATCAACATTCGAATTGGCTGTTTTCATGATGCAATGGCTACCTCTTTGGCTAGTGGACAAGATCCTGGTGATCCTGGCATGGTTGGTGCTGGGTAACGTGGAGAAATACGGGCTTAGAAGGCCATCCATGGGTCCATTAGAGCTAAAGAACACGCAGGGTAAAACCCCTGTTTTGGACATCGGCACTCTGGAGAAAATAAGATCCGGAGACATTAATGTTGTACCAGGAATCAAGAGGTTCAACAATAACGAGGTTGAACTCGTCAACGGGGAAAAGCTTGACATTGATGCCGTGGTGCTTGCCACAGGATATCGCAGCAACGTCCCTTCTTGGCTGCAGGTGAGAAAATGTTCCAAGTCCTCTGTTTTCCATAAAAGGCAGAAAAGAAGCAATTTTTTTTTTTTAGAAGCTTCTATTTATTATAACACGGAGCAGTGAACTGAACTGGACTTGGTTATGTTATGAACAGGAAGGTGAATTTTTCTCCAAGAATGGATACCCAAAGAGACCATTTCCTCATGGGTGGAAAGGAAATGCCGGGCTTTACGCAGTTGGATTTACAAGGAGAGGGCTATCTGGAGCTTCATCTGATGCAGTGAAAATTGCTCAAGATATTGGCGATGTCTGGAAACAAGAGATAAAGCAAGTGAAGCAGCGTACAACTGCCCGACATAGACGATGCATTTCCCAGTTCTAAGTTACCAAAACGTCAACCGAATTTCTACCTCACAGTGTCTCGTTAGTCAGGAATTTTTTACTGTAAAAAGTAAAAACAAATAATAGCATCTCATAAAAGAAAAAGGAAAGAGAAAAAAAAAAAAAAAGAATACTCAGATAAAGGCGGATAGCAGAGCCCTCTCCAAAGGCCCAGGTTTTTGTTTGGGCATCTTTTAACTACAGGATGATGAGGCTTCTTGTTTTACTTTTTTTCCTTCCCCTTTCAATGATGATAAATACAGCTTATATATATGTACCAATACTTTTGAGTTTTATATGATACGCTTTCGAGTTTCAACTTTACTTCCAACTTCTGTCTCCCCTCTTTCTGTATTCAGGCTTTCAAGTCATCAGTCATGTCAATACGTTTATATTCCCTTCAGCCCGGAAAAGAAAAATACATACTATATGACAAAGAATATGAACAAACCCGAAAAGTTCAGGGAAGACGATGAAATTTCCTATTACGCTGTCTAGTCCTTATCTTACATTCCTCAAGAACCCAATGATAATAACTCACCAATATTAACCAAGGTCCCAATTCCGAGTGAAGAATTTTCAAAACAGTTGACTTTTCTCGACACATGGTCAGTATTGAAGACTTTCAGCGAGTGTTAATGGGGAAACGAGTTGTGCTTTGCGTTGCGTTTCACACATGATTTGGAGTCATGATTTGCATGGTCTTTTTCTTTACACATGTATTTCAAAGAACTGATCGCAGTCCCGAGTGGGCCAAATAATTAATGTGGGGATTGATCTGCTCACAAATTGAGATGGGTAGGGTCCATTGGAAAGAAAAAATATTGAAGCTCAAGTTCATCACACCCGGTCACCCACCCCCAGAAGCCGATTATTCTAACACGTCTGCATTTAGATTTGATATATAGGACTTGACCCAACTACAGAACATAGCAGTTTCACACACACACACTACACAGAAGATGAATATGGTTTACTGCTTTGGTAAATATAATCTAACAGAAGAATGTTAAAATATATAAAATGGAGGGAAAAAGGAACAAGGGTGTACAGTATATACCATACTGGTGAATAAGGGCATACAGTATATACCATGCTGGGATTATTGTAAAAAAAAAAAATGAAACGCCCAGATTAATTTTCCCTTGATGAGCACCAGACGCGTTCCCTTCTTACCATTTGTTAATAGAGACCCCGAACAACTAAATAACAATATATTGAGAATAAAAATTTTGGACCTTTTTGTTGTAGTTTGTTAACTAGAATTATGAGTATAAGCTAACTAACAAGTTCTTCATGAATTCATAGCCGCTAAGTTTGGCGACTAGTGTAAAATGCTGTCTCCAGAAACGCGTCGTTTTCATTAATTGTTTTGGCAAAACTAAATATAATTGTATGTCTTGTATTGCATTGTTCGGCTTCTTCACAATCTTCAAAATATCCTTAACAGCTGTCCTTTTTCCCCCCTTCAGAGAGATAGAAGATTTTAGTATGAAATAAATTTTTTATCTGGAAAAAAAAATTACACTTCTTCTTGTAAAACATGGACGTCATTTTACCCTTTTTCCCCCCTCCCATTTCATTAGTATTATTTGAAAAATGACTCTTCAAGGTAATTTTTTAAAGAAAAAAAACTTACAGCATGAAAATAATTATTATCGATAGATGTTTTCTTTAAGTGAAGTTGAAGGCCTGAATCTTATAAATAGCCAAAAAAAAAGGGGGAATCATGTCAAAGAAGCTACCACAGCTGTTGAACTCATGAATATTCTGCGACAGTAAAATTATCCTTCTGCTAAAGTTCAGCTGAAAACAGAAACACACGTATGAAATATATGCTTAACTGTATTCCAAGGAGTGACAAGTGTGAGTTGGAAGAATCGGTGTCGTGACTCGTGAGAAGCGAGAAACAGGCCATATGAGTTCCCATGCTGACCAATTCATAATTTATAAGAAAGAAATATAATGAATGGCCCATCTGAAAATGATCAATTCTTCACCATCACAACCTCTCGGGCAGCAAGTCAGACTCGGGACATTCATCTCAGTTTCCCTTCTTCAGAACTCACAGCATTTAATGCATTCAAGTTAATTTAACACATGGAATGGCTTTTATTTTTCTGCTTATATATATTGCTCGAATTTATATATACTAGCTGCTACTGCATGTGCAAATCCGACGTGTTTTCTTCACATGCTGGTGTCATATGTGGGCTTGTGCGAGTGGACCTACCAGAATCCATAAAAACATGCTATTGTCAGAATTGCAAGCATTGACTCTCTTCAGTAAGTTCGTTTCCATCATATACTGCATTATTTATAGCTAAAAACACAACACTTTTGATTTGATGAACCACTAGCAACTTGTCCTTATGTATCATCATTATCTAATCAATATGTAGCTTTAAATCTAAGTAATTGTTTTGTACTTCCTACTAATGCTAAATCGGCTTGGCTGGTCCTCCCTTGCGTACATGTTCTAGATCATATTGTTCATGCATGTTGATTATCGAGGCTTTCAAGTATACTTACACAACAAATGTGTCTATACGCTAAGGTTTATTTTTTATCTTTTGTCTCAGCATTTGAAGTTGAACATAATTTAACACGCAAAATGATGTATCAAGACAATATACAAACAACATGTTGGGTAGACAAGAGCAGCGATTCTCTCTGCAGGCTGACACAGTTGCGCGGCCATTGTGGTGTGTTTGGTCATGGTTTAACTACAGGACAATAATGCTATAACTATCACGCAAGAGGTGGGATGTCCAAACAAGTTGTACTAAAATGTGGACCATACACTGAGCTGAGATTTCCAGGTTAACTGCAAACTCAATCCAAAACCAGACAGCTATGACTGTGATAGATGCTTTGGCTCACAACAACACTCCCTCTTGCTAGCTATCGTATAAATCCATTGATTCTAGATCATGTGAACTTGATTTGAGGTTGAATATATATGTATATAGGAATAGTCAGAGGCAGAAAAGGGAAGAAAAGCCATTCATTAGAAACAAATCTGTTACTGGAGCCAATAATGAAGATGAACTTGTAGTGTTCTGCAAAAGCTAATGCATGATGATGATATCAGAAATATCATTTACATTTTATCTACAACTAAAGCCTAGTTCAGTGGAATCTCAATGATTACTTATATATAGCAACACGTTTCTCTGGGTCAACATCGGACAATGGAGTGAAACTTCCAAGTGAATAGACAAAATAAAATAGGGCCAATAACAGGCATGCGGGTTTTGCGCGTCTCCAGCTCGTTTGAAAGCGGCCATCTCACTTTCGGTTCAAAATTCAAACCATGTATGGTTGATCATCCTCATGTTTTATCCTCAGGTTTAGTCATTGCGACAGAAAATTTACGTGGATGGATATGTTCTTATTGCGAGCCAACTTCTCCGATCAATCACTGCCTGTCAATGAAAGACCCATAAATAGGCTAGGTGTATATACAAACAATTCTCTGTGTCAATGTCATTTAAAGTAATTTTCCAAATAAAACACGACAGGTGCATGGTTGTTCAATAATAATATGACCACTTTATAAACATCAGACAATTCTATACAATCTACTTAATTAATATTTTTCAAAACCAAAGCCAAAGGGTTTTTTTTTCTTTTTTTGTTATATCAGAAATGTTTGAATTCTCGTCCTCTAACTATATCACACCCTTATTACTTAATATAGCCTTAATTGACTGTAGAAAACTCAGGAAATAGGGGCCCGCTGGGGGCAAAACAGAGGACTAGTCCTCTTTTCGCCTCTGGCTTTCATCATGCAGTTTATTATTCCTCTCTTCATCTATTTTGGCGGGTCCGTTTTTTCTTCTTCTTCTGTTGACCCTTTCTTAACTGAATGAATGGTTAAAGGTGGACCAGTGATCAGTCTGTTGAGGCATGAGGAATCGGCCCAGATCAATTTATTAAAATCTCAACCCATACATAAACCCTGACCCAGAAAAGCCCATATAAGTGACTACTGTCCACAAGCCTAAAAACTTGTTCACAGTTCAAATTCCTTGATATGCAAGGAAAACACAGGAAAGGTCAAAAAATATATATACGCTCGGGCCTCGTGCCATGCGGAGGATTGAAACGTGTAAGATAGGACAGGTAAGACATTTAAGGGTGTGTTGGATTAAAAAATTTACAACTGAGGTTAGGATTCAACTGAGGTTAGCAAACTGAGGTTAAAAAAAAAGTCAATTAATGTAACGTGATTTATGTTTGGATACTTTTTTTTTCAAAAGTCAGTTAGATAAACTGAAATTCGTTTGGATGATTTGATTCAAAAGCCAGTTGATAAAATAGGATGTTTATATTTTTTGACTAACTAATAAGTAAAAAATATTAAACTTCAAATCATAATTAATAAGTAAAATATTTTAAATATTCAATTACAAAAACCTAAAATAAATTAATATTCAATTGATATGAAGTAAAGTTGAACTTTAAAGGTCATCCTTTCCATTGTAACCACTTCAATTCTAGGGGGAAAGATTTAAACTTCCCTTCCAATCTCACATTATTGATCTGAAGCAGCACCAAGTTCACCATTGTTTCGAAGGACTTGGTTTGAAGCACTACAGCCTCTCCATCTATCTCAACTTGTTGAAAATATTTCTTGTTCAACTGCTTAAGGAATGCCCGAGCATTTGCAAAACTCAAACCCCATTGAAGGTGTTTCCCAAAAATTACTTCATCCTTATGATCTTTAGTAGATCTTTCCTTTAAGTCTAGGACTATGCCTTGAATACTCCTCGTTCCCTACGATATCGAAAGCAGCCAAATATTTAACAACATATGTAAGGAATTGGTATTGTTATCAGAGGAGCGGAGAAGAAGCTATAAAAATCGCTAACACCAAAAATCTGGGGCACTTGTGTGAAATGCATGTCAGACATTATATATAATATTTAATGCATGTCAAGATTTTCCATTGGTCTGATATATGCACAGCATGCAATTTGAGAACGTATTACGACATTGTAGTATTTTATTGAACCAAATCTGATTAAGATAGTTGCAATATGATTAAATAATCTGACATGGTTGCCTTACAAAATTCTGTCTTTTCTTTTGTTTGTCTTGGTCACTCCTCTTGCCCACAAAAGACAAGTAACACGAGGACATGCATTCTTTTATTTTACCGAAATGTACAAACAACTATCACCATTTAACTTCAAATTCTTTTGGAAAAACTCAGCAACAGAATAGTATAGTTATCTACATAAACACCCATTTATTTCAAACCCCATTAAAAAATGAAAGTAGAGCAAATAGTTCAGACTTTATAAACCAAAGCAACAAACGAAAGCTACTCACAGTTCATTAAAAAAAGAAAAAAGAACCAGAGTGAGGACGGCACAGCAAGGAATGAGACGATGTAGGCAGAGCAAAATCAGACGATGAAGAGGAAGAAAAAAACTCAACATAGCAGCAACCTTCAGCAACGAATGAGATGAAAGGAAGAACCTTACTTGCCAAGGACAGTCGATGAGGAGTAGATCCAGCGATGAAAATCTCAGATCTGGTGGAGATCGAGACGCAACTGTAACGTGGAGAAACCATTGCTCAAGAAACTACACTTTCATCTCAGACCTCGGTGCTTCAACATGGAGATGTTGGAGCTTCAACTAAGGTAGAAGAGAAGCAGATCTGAACGCGACCTGGTGCTGGATGTCTGGAGCTCAGGAGGTGAAGCGAAGCAAATATGGAGGTGTTGCACAGGAGGTCACAGGAGGAAGAAAGCAACATAAAAAAAAAACCAGATACCTCGTGCCTGGCAGGTTGAAAGCTAAGAGGAGAGAGAAAGCATGCAAATTTTAAAACATAATTTAATGAATGCAACGGTTTGCAACGTGAACGCTGATGCAAAAGCCAGGAGAGTGGGCTTCCGAAAAAACGCTCATTTTTTGCTAATTGAGGTTGAGATTTTTTCTTAATCCAAACAAAATAAAATGGGCTTTTTTTGTTTTAACCTCAGTTGGGCTTATTCTAACTAAGGTTGATAGCTAATCCAAACATGCACTAAATCCAGTACAAACTCTGGGTTGAAGGCAGGGTAAATTTGATTAAATATGTTGCTAAGGAAGAAAAAACAGAGAGAAAGAGATATATGTTAATCTGCGAATTAGCGTGCTTCACGTTGATGTCTAATTATACGCAGTGTGCGATTTTGATTCCTTTTGTGCTTTAAATGGTGTAGAAAACTATTGTATCCTAGCTTAAAAAGCTTGTATGTGTACTGTGATTTCCCATTCAAATGAACAGTCTCCTGGCTTGCTAATTGCTATTTATATGAGCTTTTGAATAGAGCATGATTAAAAGTTGATTTTCGATCCTTAAATTCTCAGTCGTGCATTAAAACTGGAAAATACATTGGTGGTGGTATTGGGATGTGTTCCCTCCCAGTGTTGTTGTCTTTTACATAGTCATTAATATCTGATTGTGAATGCACGTTTCAGGTTTTAGCCCTTCGAAACAATAAAATTCCCTCCGCTGGACCTCGGAGATAGGCCTGTGATTTATTTTAGCTGCGTTTCGTTGAAGACTGCTGCTACAAAGTCAAAACCAAGACACATTTTTCGTGTCTTATATGAACTAAAACAGATTAAAATGCATTAATAATAAATTGTGAATAGTTGAAGATTTCATTGTGCGCGCGCGCGCGCGAATATACAGATATATTGGTGCTAGGAGTCTAGGATAGCTCCTGTAACTTCTTGTCTCGATAAATTTCAGAAATAACTTTCTATTATAGTTTACCGTCATATACATACAGACACAGGCCGATTCCAATAACAATTTTAAAGTCAGACCCATTGGATTCTAACTTAATTCCATACATTGATTGGAGCTTGAAATCGTGTTTCTGATATCCCTGAATGGGATTCAGTTATAACTGTGAAGGGTTATAAGAAAAACAGATTTATGCGTGAAATTTTAATTTTAAACAAGAACAGGAGAAACATACGCGTGTAGTACGTACATTAAAATTTCCTTGGTGAATTACTACCAAAAATTGCCTGAGTTTGATGACAGCATTAACAAGAATAAACAAGAAGGATCGGAAACAGATGATGAACAAAAGCACATGGAATGTAGAATATTGAAAGATCAAAGGGGTAGAGAGAGAGAGAGAGAGAGAGAGAGAGTAGGAGTAGAAATCAAATCCCTTAATCCATAAAAGGAAGGGGAGAACAAGAGTCAAAATTACAAAATGAACACGGAGGGGAAGAGACAACACTCAATTCACTTCCTCAATTTCATCCAAGGCGTAGTTGTTGGTTGATACGTTGGCATAGTTAACCTTGTTGAATCGAACCACCACCGGGTACCGAGTCTTCGGGTCCTGCTTAACCCAAACCACACACAAACATCGTTACAATCACAAGTAATTAATATATGCACGCCACTGTGAATTGAGATCGAGTCACCGAGAGGAAACAAACCTGATCAACAGCAACAACAGAACCAGTGCCTTTATACCAGTAAGATTCCTTCCTCATAATCTTAACCTGTCAAGTGTTTTAAACATTCCATCACTTTGCAGAAAATAAACCTTAATCACATCTAGTTTTTTCGATTTCTTCTCCGATTTCTCCACATTATATCCACTAGTCCTATCTACTCTTGAACAACATATGTCAATGTTGTAACTTTTGGCACAAGCACGCGATAAAGCTATGAAACCTCCAAAGCATTATAGTCAACAACAAGGGAAAGAAGTAAAAAGGTGAGGGAAAGCAGGTGACCTTGGTTCCTCTCTTGGGGCCAATAGGAGGAGGCTTGGGTTTTGGTGTTTCGCCTTCGGACGGTGGGGCGGCGGTGGCGGGAGGAGCCGCCGCAGCCTCGTCGGCGGCCCTGACGACGAACCTCGAGGAGTTGTTGGGTGGGAACATGAACGTGGAAGTCCTGGAAGCTGAATTGGATGTGACCGATGGTGCGAACACAAACACAGAAGCGGCGGATGCCATGTTGGAGGTGGCCATCGCTTGTTCTCAGTCTCACACTATGGTGGCGACAAAATCAGTGCGTGTGAGAGTGATCAAGATCAGAGATCTGTGAGGCTTGGATTCAACTCAACTGGATTTCCTGGTTCGCTCGGACAATTATCTGATATGATGAAGCCAGTGCAAGCAATCGATTGCTCCACTAGGATGCCGCCACCTGTGCATCATATCCACTTTTCGGAGATAACGTTCTTCAAGTTCCAACTCATCCATTGACACTTGGGAAGTTCCCCACTCGAAATCCAAACTTGCTTGCCGTAGGGAGCGATTTTTTTTTTTTTTAGTAATAAAATTTTTAGATGAATTGGATGAGCCAAAGCCGAGGGTTCAAAAAACATTTATCAAAATATTTATAAATCACCCATCAATAAAATTCTCGTATCATGAGCTGTAATTTAAGCCACTAACTAACGAGTGAAGTTAATATATGTGGATAAGAGATTGTTTTTCTCCCATAATTTTTTGAATGATGCACTCAAAATCAAAATTGGATTGAATTTTTTGTGAAAAAGGCCATTTTTCATGAGGCAAAAGACCATGATCCTATTGGGCCTTATCGGGCCTCTTTTATTTATCTAAGTTATGAGAAATGACATCTTTAATGCAGAATGGGCCCGACTATCTCATTGGGCCAGATTTTCAACTTCATCTCATTGTACATGCCAAAAAGACACTGGGCCTGTTACCCTATTGGGCAGTGTAATTTTCTTTGTTCATTTCAGCTATTTTTTTTATCAAAAAAGAAAAAAGAAAAAAAGATGCCAGCGAATCCAGCAAAGAAGAAAAACCACACAAGGAAGAAGTGATGTGACGGTGGAGACGATGAGACAACAGAAATAAGGAAGCGATGGTTGTTAATCCAAGTCACTGTTAATGATAAGCAAAGTTGGAGAGATTAGATTTTAATTGTACTGCACGTATCTCTTGTTGCTTGAAGCAACACGCAAAAGTGGGATTTTTTTTTTTTTGGACTTTTAGTTATAAAAAGGTTGTTGTTTTATTGTAATATAATCATACTCGTCACTAACCACGCATTAGTTGCGACAATTCGTTTTTTCGTCTATCAAGGTGTCGTTTTCAATTGCATGTGCACCTTCTGTGTCACTTCTTGACATGCAACAAAAGAAACCGATACGCATGGGCCCACTATGCACTACTTAATTCAATTAATTAATCATTAATACCTTATAATACAGCTTCCTTTTGTCTTGGCTTGCCTACATAACCTCCATAAGGCTAAGATCGTACCAACCGCCATTACAAAGTCAAGCTAGATTTTCTCCATGCAAAATTTTCGTTCCTTTTTCATGTCTTTTCTTCTTTCTTTAATTTAATACAAAATTAACCAATTAATGGTTACTCCATCTTTAGAGTTATCTTAAAAAAAAAAAAAAAACTCTAACTCAATTGTATGATTGTATCCTTAGTAAGTACTCATACACACACATATATTTAGTAGGTAACTTTTCAATTTTACTATTATTTATAATTAATAACCATAGTAAATTATATTTTATAAATTCAAACGACAATAAGTAAATAAGAAGCAAAATTAAAAAAATTAATTAATCTAACTTAGTTTTATATTAAAGATGAAAAAACTTTCAAACTCAATCTCATAATTAAGAATGAGACGGAGTATATCTTTTCACTGTTGTTCTTTTATAATTTCCATGTTTTCTGGTCAAAGTAATAAATGGGGGGAGACCCCTGTCGCATTAATTATCAGGTAACCGCGTTCATTCTCGTCTATGATAGTTTCAAATTACAAAATATTTTTAAAATTTTTTTTTTTAAAATATAAAATATTTTAGGTTGATTAATATTTTATTAAATGTGACAATTTTAATATTATTTTTTTCTCTTTATAATTAATTTATGTTCTTTTTTTTAATATATTAAATAATAAATATTTTTAAAAATTTATATTTTTATTTTAAAAAGATAAAGTTGTTAAGTATATTTAATGAGGTTCATTAATATATAAAAGTTTGTATAAAAATATTTTATAATTTAAGACGGAGGGAGTATTATGACAAATTAATTGACGTTCGGGTATTTTCTTTGATTATATTTTTCCAATAATCCCATGGCCTGACCCTTGAGCGGAGTAGCATTTCACTCGAGAACGTGTCAATGCGTAGATATGGTAAAAAGCTAATCCCCGACATTTAAATCACGTACCCACCAAATGGAGGTAGCTAGCTAGGTTGAAGCGTGACGTGAATTTAAAATTAAAATCATTTACATGCACTTGCTACTTAGTATACTCGACTCTGTGTGCAATTATGGACGGTGTAGTAAATAAGGTTAAATTATTGTGCAGGAGTTAATTACTACTGCTCACAAAGTTGCTGGCTGCTTATGCTAATATTTAATAGCACATTCAATGGAAATAATGGGTGGCGTGGTGAATAAAACTTGGAATGTAAGGCAGTAAGCCAGTAACCAGAAGGGTCTACTTTTGGAATAAAGAGGTTTGAGAATTAAAAGCAATAATAAATACAGAGAAACCCCACACGTTTAATATTTGGCGTTAGATATATCTTGTTCTTTAAAGTTGGTAGGTCTGCCCCATCCATTTTATTTACTTGTCATACTTTTATTAATATATCCTCTCTTTTTTTTTTTAACCAGATCTTATTCATCCTTTCAATACCCACTCTCTGGATCAGTTACTCAATGTGGTTTATCTAACTAGACCATCAAAATTGATTGCAGTGGACAAAAGTCAGATTCCCACAAATCTCAACAACCATAACAGTATCTTTTTTTTAAAAAAAAAAAGTAGTTGCGAATGTGAATATAAATATATAATAAAACCGCACGGGGCGTAATTATCTGATTTTCCGCACCGCCTGTGTACACAAGTTCAAGGTTCATTTTATTTTATTTTCATTTTTGCGGGTTCTAAAGTCAAATAAAACGATGGTTTAAAAAATGTCCGTTGTGTCGTGACGTGAAATGTCAATGGCGTCGAATAGAAAGCCCAAGAAAAGAGAAGAAAAGGTCCGTTGCCAGGAAAATTCTAGGAAAAATTGCGCAGACCTGACATTTTTACTTCTCCGATCTTATTTATAAATTTTTTTAAATATATTTTATTAATATCAATAAAAATTTTAAAATTTATTAACTTTATCTTAAAATTTGGTAGATTTTTAATTTTATTCTTATTAAATATATATACTTTTAATAATATATTTTTTTCAATATTTAATAGAGGGTGAAAGAAAAAATTTATAATAAAAATTTAATAATATGACTCATAAATAAAATCAAAAAAATTATTCTCTCTCGCTTATGAATAAAATCAGAGGGAGTATATTAAAAAATTTAATAAAATTTGAAATAAGTTTATAAGTTTAAGGGATTTTTTTGCAATGAAGTTATACAAGTTTAAAAACTTCTATTGCAATTAAGGTTTTGTTTTTTTTTTTTGTTTTTGGTGAAAAGATGCTATCGTCTCTTGACCACCTTGTGATTTAATTGGTCGTTGGCAGCCAGCATCATAATTTTTTTAAAAAGATAATATATTAGGGGTAATTTAATTTTTTTTTACAGTATAAATTAATTTCATTAGGATCTTTTGATCTTGTAAAGTAATTTTTAAAATCATTTAATGTTATTTATGAAACTTTATTTTGAGAGATTATTAAATGCGATTCTCCTAACAAAAAATACCATATGGTTTGACTTTATGATATAGGTGTTGTTTTAATGTATGTAATGCACTTATGCAAGAATCGAATTTAGATGAGCTTTTGTAACGAGTGTAAGTTATAAGAATTTCTTCCAAGCATATGATACATTAAATTGTCTCGATGCAATTAAAGAGTTGGTGTGAGATTATTTTACATTTGCATTCATGTCCTTGTACCAGGCAACTTGAAACGAACAAGTAGACAGTTAAATGTTGAGAGCGTTATATTATATTGAATAATCTTCACCGTCAAAACCGCGTGGGTGAAATGGATTCTTGAATCCAACGGCAGGAGCGAGAGGGAAGCTTCGGCGTAAGATGGAACGTGAAGACCAGGCTTGAAGCTAATAAATAATAAATGGCCTCTTTAAAGCAAGTCAGGCTCCGAGCCTTCCAATTAAATTAAATTGAATTAAAATGGATGACCAGTTTGTATGTAGTCTATATAGTATTATTGCCCAGGGTGATCTGCTGTTTTCATATAATATGAAACCAGCCAAGATCTTTTTTTAAAAATATATATATATATATATATATTTTTTTTCTGGGTTCCATGAGAATTTCTCCCCATCCTGCCCTGAAACTGCCTTGTCAACGGGAATTTATCACTGCACACTCTTTTACACAAAAATGATACATGCAAAGAAAATGTTGGAAATGATTTTTTTTTTTTTAAGTGGTAATGTTGGGGATGAGATTTTGTTTCAGATTACACTCATGAATGATAACCGGTGAAGCAGTGCAATAATCAAGCAAGGCGGAGCTTGGAGTAATAAGTACTGGCGTGTATAAAATCATTAAGAAACTTGCCTTTTCTATTATTTCAAACTCCATTAAATAAGTAGGTCTCACATGGTAGAGTTGGCACCAAAGTACTGTGTCTTGGAAAGCTATCAAATGTAAAATATTTTTTAATATTTTAAAATACAATTAATACTCCATCCATATTAAATTATAAAAAAATTTAAATAAAATTTTGTATATCAATATATTTTATTAAATATATTTAATAATTTTATTTTTTTAAAATAAAAATATAAACTTTTAAAAATATTCATTCTTCAATATATTAAAAAAACGATGAAAATTAATTATATAGAGAGAAAAAAGGTAATCTTAGAATAAGTCTATTTAATAACATTTTAATCTTCTTAAAATATTTTATATTTTTAAATACTGAATCTCTCCCAAAAGTGTTTTATATTTTGGGATGGAGGGAGTATATTTTTTTAAATGCATCTAATAAATGATTTATTTTATATTTCTTAAATAAAGCTCACTGTTAAATAAAAGTAAATATAAAAATATGGTATTATAAAATTTTACATTTTTGAATACAAGACCACGATAAGAATTGTGTAAAAGATAAAAATTAAGTCATGTCAGAATTCAAAATGATTCTACATCTTGTAGGAGGATTAGTAAAAAGAATAAAACCATAATTGTCTTGGTGAGCTTGTGTGCAAGTATATTCGCGTATTTGTTAGCTTATATAAGGATGTGATCAAATATGACCATCCAATCTTTCACTACAAACTCCTTGATTTTCTTAATATTATTCATTAAATAATGACTATCAGAGAAGTTTTGCTGGATGAGTAAAACGGCTTCTATGAAATCAATGTGTATGTTAATTTTTGTGAGTTTTGCACTCTAATAGATCCGAAGACCTTTTAGAATGCCAAATAGTTCAGTCACAGTATTAGGGTGGTAGCCAAAATGCTTTCAAAATCCTATAATCTAATGTATTTTTTCATCAAATAGAATTCATATGTCTGCATCTGCTGGAACATATAAAAAGCGAGATGCAAAATAATTTATTCTAGAGAGGACAATCATGACAAAGATATTGCCTTTTCTAATATCCAACAAATAATTAATGATACAAGGTTTCAATTAAGAGCGAATATTATAAATAATGGCAACTTTAAATTTAAAGCTAACTTGAGCCTTTCAAAAGTAGGGTGGGTTTGACTTGATATTGACGATTCAATAAGTTTTAATGGAATTACAGTTTGTGATGGAGTCGTTCATAATAAAAAAGGCTTTACGCTTTTTAATAAAGGAAATGCTCTTCTTATTCTTATTGGAAAGTACTTTCAACTACTTTATTTTATAAAAAAAAATATAATTGACTCATTAATCATGTCTTCAAATAATTTTTTTAAAATTTTATCCTTATTAAAAATGGAAAGAAAGGGATACAAATGTATAACAAGTCATAAAACTAAATTTATAATAGGGTTAAGTTTCAAAAAATATATACCTTATATTAAATACCAAATAATTCTTCTACAACATGTCTTATAATATGCATAAAAAATAAATAAATACTCCCATCTCTTTTAACAGAACAAAGAGCGATATTTTTTTTTTGCCAACAAAAAAACGATATTAATCATCATGTGTTTTATGCAAATAAAAAAGGATGTTATTTTTAGCGATGCAATACTTTATTTTCATCCCTTAATTTTGATGGCATTGTCAATCGGGAGAAAGCATAATAATTTTATACAAATAACAAAACATTCACTTCATGTTTTTCTTGACTATAATTTTTATTGTAATATTTATATCCTTTTAATTAATATAAATGTATGATTAAAAATTAGGACGCTTTTTAACAAATAAAATAAAAGAATGATTGTTTAACTCATATAAAAAATGTTTCAAACATGCTATACGAAGAAGACGAGGCTGGGATCCTACTTTCATCATACTCAAATAATTGGGTTAGACCGCCTTCTGTTTTTATCCGTCTTTCTCATATCCTAACATAAACTCACAGTAGAGTGTAAAGTGCTGCACCATACACAGACAACTTTTTCATTTTCCTCATCATTACTAATTTGAGACGCCAAATTTGTTGTCAACTTAAGTTTCGGATATTATTTACCAACAAAAATAATTATATATGTTAAAATGATCATTAAATTAAATCCAACTATCGTTATAATTTTTTTTATAGAAAATAAACTATGCATAAAATACGAGAGAAATTATTTCTCTTTAATTATGCGTATCTTTTACTTTTTATCCTGCTTAACTTATTGATATTATAATCAATATCAATTAACATGTATAATCTATAAACAAAATTAGAAGTTACAAATAATACAATTTATAATTCATTCCACAAACTCAGATTGTATTGACATATAGTTTTATAGTAAAATATGTGTAATTTTTATTTTTACTATTTCAATAATTTTTTATTTATCTTAATAAAACTTCACATAATAAAAAGATGTTTGTTATTATTATTATTATTATTATTATTAATATTATTCATTCCGTTAAAAATGTGTGGTATTTTTTATAGGATTGAATGTTAAAAAATTTAAAATATTTTTACTTTTTTAAAATATAATTATTATTTTTTAAAAAATTTTATAATAATTTTTTATTTATTATAAAATATTTAATAAAAATAAATATAAAAAAATAAAATTAATTTAAAAGTAAATAATTATTTTATACAAACGTTTGTTTTTTTGGTTAAAATTCCATCTACATTACTTGTTTTTAACGCTGCAAGAAAAAGAGAGCAAGCCCAACTCTCATACATTTTGGTTCTCTCTCTTTCCCTCTCTCGTACCCTCCCCCCCCCCCCCTCTCTCCCTCCCTCTCAATCCCGAACTGATAAATTCAGCAGATCCCACAAAGACTAGGCGAGGACAGAGAAGCATTGCCAAGCGGCACCCCTCCCCAATCCATCACTCTGTAGTCTGTTCCTGGGACTCGCCGATTCCCTCGCTGCGTCAGATCCCGCGTCGCTTCTGTTAACCTGCGGCTACGTTGTCGCCGGAATGTCTCTCTTCCCTTTCCAACGTTCATCGCCGGGTAGGTTTTTGCATACTATTATCGACTTTTATGGCCTGTGAGCTCCGCATTTTCAGAAATTTCTCTTTGGCCGTTGCCTTTTTGCCTGCCATCGACCTCACTATTCTCGAAGCTCTTGCTTTTCGCTGCCACTCCAAAACTCATTCCTTCTACTTTCTCTTTCTAGATTCGCCTTTTCTCTTGCTGTACCCGCAGCTTTTTCCGAAGCCGTGTTTGAACCAAGATGCTACTTTTTGTGCATCGATTTACTTCAAACAGTCATGATTTAGTTTTACTGTTCGCGATGCTAAAATATATATTTTTTTGGGGAGAGGACGGGCTTATTTTAATACTTGGAGGACGTTTCACTTCTAACAATGCTTTCAAGTTAGCTGTCGTCTTGCTTTGTGTGTTGGGATTTTCGGCTTTACAAGCAGTTGTGGTTTCACTTAGTTGGTACGACTCATGGTGAATACTGAATACATGTGTTTTGAGCCTATGATCACTGTCTTCTATATTTCTCTTTCAATTTTCCAAATCTGAACGGACACTTGTGCTCCTGATACCTTGGTTTTTCGTTCACGCATGACTTGATGCAATTATTAAAGTGAATAACGGCGTAATCTGTGACTACTCTTTTTAAACAAGATGGTTTATTATGCTTCATAAAACTTTTATCCGTGTTTCCTCCTTCGTTTGTCTTTCCACGTTTTGTTGATATCTAAGGCCATGACACTGAGGTTGTAGATTTATTCACACTGCGCAATTTATACTCGGAGATTTTTTTTTTGTTTGTGGCCAAAGAGTCAGACTTAGAAATGCGAAGCTCTTTTTGCCAGTTCATTGCTGGGTACCTCCCAACCAACTGAAAGATGCGTTGTAGATTGTGTTCAATGTCTTGTTTAAGCATTTGTATCTTATTTTTCGCTTACCTATGTTGTTTTCTTTCATATTATATCTTTATCTGCCCAAAAAAAGTTGTCATCTTCTTAGGTATGGTGCATACAGGCTAATCTTGGAGCTCAATCACAGCAGCTGTTGAAATGAACAGGGTGCAGAACAAACAGATTCACAATATTGAGAAACCTTTTCCGGGATGCCTGGGAAGAATGGCAAACCTCTTTGATTTGACTACAGGTGTAACTGGAAACAGGCTACTCGCAGACAAGCCACATCATGATGGTGATTACCTTTCTGTTATGTCTCCTTTTATGCTACCATAGGATTCAACATCTTACTAACTAGTACTTTGTTGACTTGCAGCCTCGCTTTCAAGGAGCCAATCTGATGTTACAGGGATCTTGAGTCCTCCTCTTGGCGATCAGATTGAAGATAAACTGGTAAATAGGGTGCATTAATCTTTTTGTCCGTATAATATGATCCTAAAAGAAAACACAACTGAAATGATATTGACAATTACATATAGTCTCTGATTCCTAGATTTATCATGTGCATTGCTATACTGATCTCTGTTCCATTTTCATGGTGGATTTTGCAGATCCTTTCCAACTTAGCTAGAACATTTTCAAAGAACAATATAAATGGGACGCCCATCAAGATGCTCATAGACCAAGAAATGTCAAAAGACATTGACTCTAAGCGCAGCCCACCCAATGTAGTTGCCAGATTAATGGGGCTTGAGGCCTTTCCTCATGAAGATCCTAATCTAGTTGTGCAAAAGAGCCATAGAAAAGATTTTACTCAACATACATGTGGTCATTCAGAAAAACCATCCAGACATTGGCAGCTGGAAGGTAGTTTTATGGACAAGCAAATGGTACATGAGGTTCATAACACCACAAAGCAGGTTGATTACAAGGATATTCATGAAATATGGCATCAACCTAGGAGCACTAGCCATGTTAGAGAAAAGACACCAGAGAGAGGAAGGCGAAATCAAAGTCAAAAAATTATGGAAGCAAGCCATCTGTCTTCAGATGAGACGATGTGCCAGTCCAAGGAAGTTGAAGGTGCCTTGGAAGTTTTAAGTTCCAATAAAGATTTATTACTTAAGTTTCTGGCTTCTCAAAATCTTTGTGAATTTCAGTCTACACCACCACCTGAGACAAAGCGGATAACTATTCTTAAACCTTCAAAGATGATGGACAATGACAAATCTCCTTGTAAGGTGAAGAATGATAAACCAGTCAAGAAACCAGCTAACGTTGGGCAAGCAGCTGTATGGGACAAAAGGAATCATGGATACTCTCTAGCCAGTCAGAGGGTTGACGAGTATCCAGCTCAACCTACTCGAATAGTGGTATTGAAGCCTAGCTTTGGGAAGATACATGAGAGTAAGGCCGTGGTTACTCCAACTTCATCCTCATCTCAAGATCTGCAAATTGGAAGCTTCTATCAGGAACCTGGAAATGATGCACTAGGGTCAAGAAAGGCAGCACAAGAGAGCACAGAGCAAATGCAAGAAAATCCTCAGGGTCTTCATAGAGACGAAACTTTGTATTCATCAGTCTTTTCCAATGGCTATACTGGTGATGAGAGCTCATTCAATCAATCAGAAAATGAGTATGCAGCAGGGAATTATAGTGATTCAGAATTTATGTCTCCATCTCCAAGGCATTCTTGGGATTACATCAATCGTACTGGTAGTCCTTATTCTTCATCATCCTTCGGCCGTGCATCCATTTCTCTGGAATCATCAGTGTGCAGAGAGGCAAAGAAACGACTCTCTGAAAGATGGGCCATGATGGCATCAAATATGAATCCTCAGGAACAGAATCAAGCAAGGAGAAGTTCTACCCTAGGTGAGATGCTTGCTCTTTCTGACATGAAGAAATCTGCAGTTTCTCAGGCTGAGGTTGTTATCAAAGACCAAGAACCAAGGGAATCTGTTTCCTGCAAAAATAATTTCGATGAAGAACATGTGGGTGATTCTCCGAAAAATCTTTTCAGGTCAAAGTCTGTCCCTGTATCTTCTAATGTCTATGAAACTGCGTTCAATGTTGAAGTTTACAATTCAGAGGTTGGCAATATGCCTATTTCCAAGAAATTGTCAAAGTCAAAGAGCTTGAAATCATCATTTAAAGGGAAAGTTACAAGTTTGTTCTTCTCGAGGAACAAAAGGTCAAGTAAAGAAAGATCCAGTCTGTCTGAATCTAAAAATGAATCCCAATCCACTGTTGTTGAAACGTCAAAATCTCCATCAAATTTCCCTGGGATCCGTGGAGATGATTTGTCTCGGAGCTTCAACAGTGGTGGCTTTGGAGACCGTTCTCTTCATTCTCTTTGTGATCCATCAAGTAAATCTTCATCACATTCAGTCTCAAAGGGACAAAAAGGCCTAATTTCTCTAGAGGTAATGGCTAGCATTATTCTGCATATTTAAATTATTAAGTTGCATATACAAAGGTTTCTTTCCAGTACTAATGACTTCTTTACGTCACTACTCACTCGTTTACTCCCTCTAAGTCAGGCACCTTCTTCCTAATCCAATTCTCTCCAATCCTCCTTTCAACTGCAAATTAAGGGGAAAGAAGAAATAAAACACAGAAAAATAGAATTAGGAATCCACTAATTATTTACTAAGCATTCTTCTACAATCTTGGAACAATTTTATGCTCCCTCCAACTTCATTCCTTTCAGCTTAGATTTTGTGTAGGTAAAACACAACCTCTTCGAATTACATAATTACATTGCAGATCCTAAAACGAATTGAGTGCGTCTATCCTGGGACAATATAAGTGGAACATTTAATCTGTGCTGAAAATTCACAAACAATATACTGCAATTTCCTTAGACAGTGTTTATTTTCACAGCCTGGATTGACTGTGTCAAAGCCTGGTGCTCTGGGCATGTCAAACCAAATCCAGGACCAGCCAAGTCCAATTTCAGTTTTAGAACCTCCATTTGAAGATGATAATGCAGCCCGAGAATCCTCTGACTGTATGAAGGCCGGTCAATTGGGTAAAGCTTATACCCCAGCTTCTTACTGTCATTCTAGCTATACTGAGAAGTTCTTATTTGATGTTATTGGTTGATGTTATTCTTATATGGTCTGATTTCCGTTCATTATGTAGGTGAACAGGGACACTTGAAGTCTAATTTAATTGACAAATCACCACCTATAGAATCTGTAGCCCGGATCCTGTCATGGGATGGTTCTTGTGCAGAGGTAGCAAGTTCGGATCCACTAAAACCATTGATGACTTCCCTCGATCCAGTGGCAGAGGAACAAGACAGTCTTGTGTTGGTCCAGAAACTACTATCAGTGTCTGGCCTTGATGATCAAGTGCTGTCAGACTCGTTTTACTCTAGATGGTATTCCCCTGAGAGCCCATTGGACCCAACATTGAGGGACAGATATGCGAATCTGAACGGCCAGGAGCCTCTCCAGGAGGCCAAACGAAGGCAGCAAAGATCAACTCAGATGCTTATATTTGACTATGTTAGTGCTGTGTTAATGGAAATTAGTGGTTACGGGTCAGAAAAGTACTTAATGAGAAGGATGTGCAGGCAGCCAGAGGGTGCATCTACCCTACTGATGGACCTCATTTTGTCCCAAACGAAGGAAATGACATCTAGTGGGATGAAGTTTGATTGGGGGGATGGTGGGGACAGCAACGGCATGATGGTAGAAATGGTTGTTAGGAAGGAGGTTGCGGGGAAGGGATGGTTTGAACTCAAGGGATTGGAGATTGATCTTCTAGGCAGGGAAATAGAAGGGAAGATGCTGGAAGAGCTTGTAGAGGAGGCTGTTGTTGATTTGACTGGTAGGATCTATTACATTTGATAACCTCCTTTTATAAAGTGTCTATTATTTGTGTATTTGACGAACAACATATTGCCCTACTTGGCTAATTTATTCAATGCTTACGAAATTGTATCAAGATGTAGTTTAGCTGATATTATGTCTCTGATTTATGTAGTTGCCTTTGCGTAAATCGCTGCTTAGGTAAAAATTGAATATGAAAGGATGGAGTTAAGCTTGTAGGAGTGATCAACTTTCAAATTTTGTACGTGCATTGTGGAGAAAGGTAAGTTCGTGTGTATGAAGACAAAAGCTGCCATATCGAACAGCTAGAAAAGTAGTTAAGGGGTTTTGCCTGCATTCGGCACCCAAAAGGTCACAAAAAGGAAGAAAAGGGCATTGCAATAAGTGAAAAATCTAACGACGAATTCAGCTGTGACGGTTTAATAAATGCAACTCCTCGGAGCATGAATACTCACTCCATCAGACTTGGAATTGTTATCTTATGCTCTTTCTAATCTAAAATATAAATAGTTTTTTTTTTTAAATTCATATACCAGTAAAGTTTTTATTTTTATAAAAATTTGTATTGCTTTTTTTTATTCCTACTTTCAATTATCAATTTATTTTATAATGAATGAGAAATATATTTATATAAATATTTAAGTGAATAAATAGACGGGATAAAATTATAATTATTTTACATATGCTAAATTATTTATATTTTTGAATTAAAATTAATTAAAAAATACTTATATTTTGAATCAAAAATAGCAAGTCATAACGTCGTCCGTGGTCCAAACTTAGGCACAGCTGTTGCGTGCTGTACATTCCGTCAAATTGACATGCACCTTTCACTATCCGAAATCACTTCGATGCTCATCTGGGATATATATATATACATATACATATATATATTGACACCCACACAGGCGGCACACATATTTTGGGACCGAAGAAGAGAGAGAATTACATTTAAAGACTTTCTATGATTTTTATTTATACTTAAGGACTTTGAAATTTTAAAATTTAAAAAAAAATCATAATCCTCAATTAAAATTAATTTTTTTCGTACTCCTCTTCCATGTTCTTAATACTTAACTTTCACATTTTCAATACTTATTTTTAGAATTTTCAGTTCTTGATTTTAATTTTTTAATAGCTATTTTAGATATTGTCGATGCTCATCTCTCATGTTTCCATTACTAAAAAAATACTTAAGATGACCACTAAAAATTTAAAATTAGGTATTGAAAATGTTAAAGATGACTATTTAAAGTGTGAAAGATGAGTAATGAAAATATGAAAAATGAGTTTCAAAAGAATTCAATCTAAAAAATTTTAATCCCAACTGGGGATCATGATTTTTTTAAAATAAAATTTCATAACTGTAATTAATATTCTTAAAATATCCTTAAATATATTTTTTCCCAGTAAGAAATATGTACTGTATACTCCAATAGAAATTATTAGAAATGATAACAACTAACGTTTCAGCAGTTGATGAAGATTAATTTCACTGTGCTGTCATGAACTAATTGAATTTCTATTTATTCTCTGTACTATTTGGTGGTGTATAACTTTATTCTATGGTTTTTTGTTAATATATTTTTTAAAATTTGCAATCGCTTTTACTTACCTAATCCTGTCGCTGTCATGCACTATGTCGCTTCCTGAAACATTATTGCAAAGCTGGATGGAAGGCCAACGTTATTACCTTCATGCACGCCTTCTTGTTCTGGTAGACGTCGTAGCAGTTTCAGAGACTGATCTACAAAGTAAAATCTCCATTAAACACCTCAATTTAAAAACAAACACATACTATACATTAATTAGCCTTTCAATCTTTTGTATAATTAGAGTCTGAATAAGATTCTCCTGCAACACATGGACAGAAGTTAGTCGCATATGCTAAGAACAGTTTGTGGTCCAAAGATTGTGTGTAGGCTTTCCTCCGAATTTATAATCTCTTGCCTCGTTGTTAACAAGCTGTTAGTTAATTTCATCATTTGTTTGACGAACGGGCTTGTTTAGTTGGAGAGAAGGGAACAGATAGATCGTGAATTGTTTATTGCGTTCGATAAGATAAAACCTGAAAGGATAATAATTGAAGTGTTGCAAATATTTAATCAAAGAAAGTGGTCAACTTGGATTGTGTGTAGTTAGTGTCGTTTTTCAAATGAAAACGGACAAGGAGAAATACGTAGCTAAATACACATGTAAATTAGGCAGAGATTCTTGGCAGCTAAGGTATGAAGCAGAACAAGACAGTTTTTCAAAATGAAAGGGAACATATGGTGGGGGTATGCATTTCTGTGAGCAAGAATATTCCTGAAGAGGAGCAACCAGCGACATGTGTTCTGGTCTGTGAGAATTCTCAGGTAGAAGACAAAATCATGGAATCTACAGCTTCAATTAAATTGAAATCGATCCAACCCAGAAATCCCGTGACAGTGCGGTGGACTTGAAGAGAATAATTAACTTGAATTCATTCTTGAAATCCTAAATAGAGTGGGCGTGGTCCTTGGAAGGGACTATGATGTTCTTCATCTCGTCGTTTCTTTGTCGATCATGGAAAAGCAATATACAAAGGGAGAGGTGTCTAGTTTTTTTTTTTTTTTTTTAATATAAAAAAACATAATCTTATGAATAATTATAATTTTTCATTTCTTTCTAACGTAAATTTGTGTGAAATTTCAATTCTTGAACCCAAATTTTTCATATATTAAAGGAAAGCTTTTGCTTCTTATCCCTTAAAAGATTTTTGGTTCGTTGGGAAAATGTTATGTGAGAATTTCTGTCTAAGAAGCCTTCGCACAGAAAGACACGACAATAACGCAAACATTACCTAAACATCAAGTTTTGAAGCCCAAGGAAAAAAAATTGCACGAAGTTTAGAGAATTTCCACTAATTTTTTAGCATATATTATTATATAAAATTTATTTTGTTAAGATTTGCACGTATTGTTATAATATATTGATATTTATTTTATTAGGATTTAAAGAATTTTTTGTATTCATTAGTCATTATTAAAATGATATATTTTTTGTGGGTATATTGTAAGTTTTTCGTATTCTCCTATCCTTACTTCTTTCATAATTGTCATATTTGATACTTGTTGAGCACAAATTCATCTTACAAAAATATCAGAACTACATCAATGTCGATCAATTCCAGAATTTCATTTTCAGCCAGTGAAATAAGAATATATATATATAGTGTTGAATGGCCGAATTCTGAACCTATACAATACATTCTGATAGTTGAGGACCCGGGGCAGGGGATCAAGAGGACATGATACATTTATACAAATGAGACAACTGATATGAAAATGTTGAAACCAAAGATGTACACATATATACTGATATGTAAACATAATTCAGAATTGCTCGTGAACCTACAGAGATCTCACTGCCTGGAATTATTTCCTGGTGAAGAGTTCTGAATTGGTAAGCTGTACTTATCACGAGAGTTTAGTCCATCCTGCATAATTGAAACAATGATGCATATGTTAACTACAAAAGGCAGAAGGACACTACCATAACCAACAGTAGCCGCAGAGTTTAGTAGTAGTTTTTAATTTACAATGTCAAGACACCAGAGTAACCAGGCTGCAAGATAAAGGCCATCTTCTATTACAAAGGTACACTTTTCAAGAATAAATATCGAAGCAGCTACTCGAGATTCTTTATTCCATTAATTCCATGATGAGTGGGTATCTAAGATTACAACAAAAAACTAAATAAGCTTTCCAAATCTTAGAAATATTGGTGGAACACAACCACTGGTTTGTTCCTATTGAATTCAAAGTGTTCAGGTGACCAATAAAGTCCCAATTTCATCACAATAGATATAGATACACTTTTCTTAATAGTATCGTGATTGTTTGAATTCATATAATTAATTAATTAATGCTACATTTGTTAATAGCATACCTTGTCTCTTGACAGGAAGTTCCAGATGTTTGAGACAATTTTGTTATGACTCTTGGTAGATCCAGATGGGCGGCCAGATTGATGATTCAGTTGGGGCTCCCGGTTTCCACCCCTAACATCATAGTCATCCTCATAATCACAGTCTGATCTCCGAGTAGAAATTGTGGCTCGCAGAATTAATGCGAGTAGAAGAGATAAAGCCTGAGGTTAACAACAGACAAGTGAGCAATTAGACCAAAAACAGAAAGAAAGAAAGAAAAATGGAACAAAGACAATTGCTAAAAATCAAATTACCCAAGGTATCCCATGATGTCATTTTATAGGGCTCTACAAATTTTGCTATATGTGAGACATTGCAGTTGATTTGGCAAACACATCCAGAATGCATACAGACAAATGAACTAAAATCTATATGTGGCGATGGAATCACAGACATATTCATTTGAATCAAGCACTCTGGCTGATACGATGATGTCCTTCATCCTAAATTCTATAACTGACCAAATATAAAGGTTCCAGTGACGTGCAGAAAGACCTTTAAATTTGAACGATTCAAAGAATTCCAGATTTTCATGAATGCTGGTTGAGAAAGCCCCAACTTAGAGATAGAAGATGAAGATAGAATATACTGCACATTAACATGCAGGGACTATGGTCTGTAATTTATTCATTTATCATTGGAAATCATAAAAGATGGCCAGAGGCCATCCCAACATTGCAGCACAATATACCTGGATCATGAGCACAGCAGGCCAACCCATTTACATATATATCTAGATTATCTTCAATGAAAGACCGAAGGCTATCGAGTTCACCGTTGGATCGAATGGAAAATCCTGTAATGGTAAGAATTGACATGTTTCACGCTTTATGAGGGGACACGAATAATAGATGGAGTTACATGTTGATGTGGGGGGGAAAGAAATAAAGGAACCTCTTCAAAGTGATGGTCAATTGCAATGAGTCCCACCAGAACAGCCTCTAGTAGGAGGACTACTAAAATGAGTATCGTTTACTAACAGATCAGAAGGGTCAAGGAATAATAAACTGATAATGAAGATCAAAAAATTGAAATCTGTAGAGTTTGTAGGGGTTATGATTCAAAAAGAAAAATCAATATCCTTTACTTGCAAGAAACAAAATGGTGTGGAGAAGAAGCTAAGGATATTCAAGGTTTCAAACTTTAGTATACAGGAAAAGTAAGTGCACGCAATGGAGTAGGCATCATTATAGATAAGGAGTGGAAGAAGAAACGTTGTAGAGGTTTAGCAGAATTGGAGACAGAATTATTTCTTTAAAAAATGATAATTGGACGTGAGACTGTTAATATTGTTAGCGCTTATGCGCCGCAAGTCGGGGAAAAGTCAGTCTTTAAGGAATTATTTTGGGAAGATCTGGAGGAGTTGATTCGACACATACCACAGAGTGAAAAGATTTTATTGGAGGAGATTTTAATGGGCATGTCGGGAGGAAGCTGGTTAGTATGCGAGGGTGCATGGTGGTTTTGGTTTTGGAGAGCTAAACAATGAAGGACAACTCTTCTTGATTTCTCTATTGGCGTATGATTTTAAGATTGCCAACACTTGTTTCAAGAAGAAGAGAGATGAGCATCTCATCACTTACAAAGTGGAGCCTCAAGGTCACAGAATGATTTTCTTTTGGTTAGGAACACGGATAGAAAACTTTGTAAAAATTGTAAGGTGATCCCCGGAGATGCACTAAAATTATATGTAGCGATGGAATCACAGACATATTCATTTGAATCAAGCACTCTGGCTGATACGATGATGTCCTTCATCCTAAATTCTATAACTGACCAAATATAAAGGTTCCAGTGACGTGCAGAAAGACCTTTAAATTTGAACGATTCAAAGAATTCCAGATTTTTATGAATGCTGGTTGAGAAAGCCCCAACTTAGAAGATGAAGATAGAATATACTGCACATTAACATGCAGGGACTATGGTCTGTAATTTATTCATTTATCATTGGAAATCATAAAAGATGGCCAGAGGCCATCACCAAAATTGCAGCACAATATACCTGGATCATGAGCACAGCAAGGCCAACCCATTTACATATATAGATTATCTTCAATGAAAGACCGAAGGCTATCAAGTTCACCGTTGGATCGAATGGAAAATCCTGTAATGGTAAGAATTTACATGTTTCACGCTTTATGAAGGGACACGAATAATAGATGGAGTTAACAATGTTGATGTGGGGGGAAAGAAATAAGGAACCTCTTCCCAGTGATGGTCAATTGCAATGAGTCCCACCAGAACAGCCTCTAGTAGGAGGACTACTAAAATGAGTATCGTGTACTAACAGATCAGAAGGTCAAGGAATAAACTGATAATGAAGATCAAAAAATTGAAAAAGAAGCATCTAAAGTTTGCATATAAATTTCTTTCAGAATAAAACGAGAATGAATTATAAGCCGAACTAAATGAGAAAATAGATATTTTCACTTTAAGTGGGATACAAAGCACAGGCAGCAACTATGAACAACTTCAGCTGCAATGCAACCCAGGAAAGTAATGCAGCACATTACTATACCCACCCCCGTAAAAGAGTAGATGAACCTGCCGGCGATGGATACATGGAAAAATTGGGGGAAGAAAAATACCGCATTAATAACCATCAAATATTAAGAATGAAGATCCTCGTTAAAGAATAGCATATTAATGATAACGTGAATATATGAAAATCTGACAAGCGGAGGTGTGCAAATAGCCGCTCTATCAAGAGACCGTACAAGCCTTCATGCAGCACTCACGTTTAGTCTTTCAATTTTTAAATTCATTCAATAACAACCTAATCATATTTACAAGACAACACCCTATCCTGCTTTAAAATTGCAGCAGAGAATAATCAGCAAAGTAACAACTAAGCATAGTTCTATCCTACTACTTTCATGTGGTCCTGAATCGTAAAGCTAAGTCATAGCATTTTGAATCCTAGAGTTCAAATAATTAAAAGGGGACAAAAAACAATTTGAAAAAGTTACCAAGGTGCGGGAAGCTTGAAGGAACTGAATTGAGGACAAGTCCATTATCGTAGCCGGAAACCGTGTCGACGGCGAGATATAAAGGGGTGAATAGAGCAGAACCCCAGTGTGGGGCGAGAATTAGAGGGAATAGATGGGAGGAAGAAGATGAAGAAGTAGCTTGTGAAGGGTGTACAGGAATGTGATGGTTCCATTGATCATCATCATCCATATCGAGTAGAGTACGATTGAAACCCCAAGAAAGCATGGAGAAAATTTAGGAATTTAAGAAGAAAAGCTAAGAAAGCATGGCAGCAATTGCGACGCATGGTTCGGTCAGCCCCTCGGTCGGCAATTGGAGGGAATACACCAACCTTCTCCAATATCTAATGGACGATTCATCACTTGACATGAATTTCTTCAGATAATCGAATGGCTGGATTGGCTTCGTTGTTCTCTCTTCTGAAGAAGACAAAATTACATTTGGCCGTTTTCTTGTTGCCTTCAGCTTCTCAATAATTTCAGAATTTTATTCGGCTTTATCCACATCTTTTTTTTTTTTTTTTTGGGGTGGGGGGGCGTGGGTGACGGGCGGCCGCGCCTGAAAACAGTTGTTTTGAGGACATTATATGAATATGATTTTTTAAAGTTGGCAAAAGAGATTTCTTAAAAAATATAATTATGAATATTTATTAATTTTTTTTGGCCTGAGAATATTTATTGAATTAATATGATAATGAAAATGTGAGCTATTAAGATTATGATTTTTTTTTTAATTCGAGGCATGGGATTTGAATCTGGATATATCAGATTATGAAGGATTAGCTCAACTTGTTAATAAATTAATAGTGTTTTTTGATCAAGTAAAAATAATCATTCCTTTTGTGTGGGTTGTGCAGTTTTTTGTGCAGAATATTGATTTTTTTTTTTTCTTTCTGAAAAACACCAGGTCTTCCTCTTCGTGGTTTTGGGCCCATTCCCCGGTCGGATTAAAACGAACGTTTCCATACTCGTTTGACCCAACCGGAAACAAAATTCAATTGACCCCCTGTCGCGGGCGGGACTGGTGACTCACTGACTATTACTAATTCCGCAACTCTAATGTTACCCCCTTTCACTCGCGCGTTGCGTTGTGTGGATTCGTAGAGGTTTATGCCTTTATTGCCCCCCAATTACCGTTCTGCTTGACATCAGCGAGCGCGGGTCCGAATCGGATACGTGAATAGAGTATTCATTGTACTACTGATTATCGAGCATGGTAGAGGTTCCATCTTTGCTTTCTCTGTGCTTAGACGCTCTCAAGAAGAGATTATCCAAGGCAAGAGCTTTCTGTCAATTATGCCTCTCTGTTTTTGGTTTTAGATTTCTTCCGGATGAAAAAGCTGTTTGCAATTTGAACATGATCGTTTAAAGTCGGGGATTTTTAAGTACTGTGCGAAATGGTTGCAGGGGATGGTGTTCTACCACCTGTCCATTTGCTTCCTTCTGAGTTGCTGGACACCTTAATTATGTGTTTGCCCCCCTTCGGATTGTGGAAGTTGCTGAATCAACTGTATGTTGAGTTCTCAATTTGACTACTAATTTTATGCTGTTCATTTTTCTCTATACGTATAGTATATCCAATCACCAGCGGTCTAGTTATTTCTTATTTTGTTGTATTTGCTGACTTGTTTTAGTTTTCTTTATTCGACAGTGCAAACTTGTATCTATCCAATCTGGTTTATATAAATACAACAATTTTGACGATAAGGTCCTGCTTGCGAAGGATTGTGTTTATTTTATGCACTGGCTATATTTTAGTAATTATTGGAATTCAACTCTTAACTACTGTTGTTTCCTTTTTGCGCTCTCAGTTTCTCACAATGGGTTGGATCATGGTTGTATTAGTCACTGAAACAGGCCACTCGAGGGTCACCGTTGGAGGGTATTCTATCGATCACTTAACAAAAAAGAGAAAACGTGGAAGGTTAGGAATGATTTTATACTCCTAATTGGTGCATGGTCGGTTTTTTTGTTTTTATCAAGGAAACTTGTTATTACAGGGATTGGAATATAGATATTGCTTGGCAGTGTGTCCTTTAAGTTACGATGGCCTGATCTTGCCAACCAGACCAACCAACTGACTGACTGGCAGCAAGCATATTGGGAGGCACATTTGCAAAAGTATACTTACAGATGAAATGCATATTTTTAATGCTGAATTGCTTGTCATTTGACAAAATTATAAATATTATTACTTTTTTTTGGCCTGAGAATATTTATTGAATTCGAGGCATGGGATTTGAATCTGGATATTAGCTCTTTTATTAGACAATTTGTTAATAAAATATAGTATTTTTTATCAAGTAAATAAAATTAATCATTCCTTTTGTGTGGGTGTGCAGTTTTTGTGCAGAATATTGATTTTTTTTTCTTTCTGAAAACACCAGGTCTTCCTCTTCGTGGTTTCGGGCCCATTCCCCGGTCGGATTAAAACGAACGTTTCCATACTCGTTGACCCAACCGGAAACCAAATTCAATTGACCCTGTCGCGGGCGGACAGGGTGACTCACTGACTATTACTAATTCCGCAACTCTAATGTACCCCCTTTCACTCGCGCGTTGCGTTGTGTAGATTCGTAGTCTGCTTGACATCAGCGAGCGCGGGTCCGAATCGGATACGTGAATAGAGTATTCATTGTACTACTGATTATTGAACATGGTAGAGGTTCATCTTTGCTTTCTCTGTGCTTAGACGCTCTCAAGAAAGAGATTATCCAAGGCAAGAGCTTTTCTGTCAATTATGCCTCTCTGTTTTGGTTAGATTTCTTCCGGATGAAAAAGCTGTTGCAATTTGAACATGATCGTTTAAAGTCGGGATTTTTAAGTACAGTGCGAAATGGTTGCAGGGGATGGTGTTCTACCACCTGTCCATTTGCTTCCTTCTGAGTTGCTGGACACCTTAATTATGTGTTTGCCCCCCTTCGGATTGTGGAAGTTGCTGAATCAACTGTATGTTGAGTTCTCAATTTGACTACTAATTTATGCTGTTCATTTTTCTCTATACGTATAGTAGACACAATCACCCAGCTGTCTAGTTATTTCTATTTGTTGTATTTGCTGACTTGTTTTAGTTTTCTTTATTCGACAATGCAAACTTGTATCTATCAATCTGGTTTATATAAATACAACAATTTTGACGATAAGGTCCTGCTTGCGAAGGATTGTGTTATTTATGCACTGGCTATATTTTAGTAATTATTGGAATTCAACTCTTAACTACTGTTGTTTCCTTTATGCGCTCTCAGTTTCTCACAATTGGTTGGATCATGGTTGTATTGTCACTGAAACAGGCCACTCGAGGGTCAACCGTTGGAGGAGTATTCTATCGATCACTTAACAAAAAAGGAAAACGTGGAAGGTTAGGAATGAATTTTATACTCCTAATTGGTGCATGGTCGGTTTTTTTTTTTTTTATCAAGGAATCTTGTTATTACAGGGATTGGAATATAGATATTGCTTGGCAGTTGTCCTTTAAGTTACGATGGCCTGATCTTGCCAACCAGACCCAACCAACTGACTGGCAGCAAGCATATTGGGAGGCAAATTTGCAAAAGTATACTTACAGATGAAATGCATATTTTTAATGCTGAATTGCTTGTCATTTGACAACGGTTTCATTCAGAACTCATTTTCTAAAATCTACATGAAATAACAGCTGTCTTGATGAAGCAGCAGAAATGGCACTAGTCCCATCTTTTGAAGGATATATTGGTGACATAAAGATCCCTGGTATTATGATAAGTTGCCCTCTCTGTCACTCAGTCAAATTTGTGGGTAGTTTCCTTCTAGTTCTAGCTGAGTCATAGACCTCTTCAGTGTTTACTGTTAAAAGTAATATTTTATTTCACCTGAATGATATATTGGCTGCTATTATTATTTATGAGGAGTGAGGACATAAAGTTACTTTTAATGGAAAATTACCTTTTTTTTAACCTGCGGAGATATCTATAATCTTTTAGAAATTGATTAAAGTGCACTATGACCTCGATTAATGAAAAAAGAAGTGACGTGTTGTGGATGACTTTTTTTTGTTTTTTATTGCTTCACTTTGCATTCTGCACCAACCTTTCAAGTTTTACTTTTTTAAATAATGTATATCTATCACGTGGTTTCCTGAGAATAGAGCTTTTAACAAAATCAAGTTTCTTATAATCTGCTTTAATAGCATTTACAACCTTTGTTCATTTCCTGCTTCTTTCATGCCTTGCCTCTTTTCCCCTCTTATTTGCAGAGACCATATTGAAACATATTGGCATTTGGGGACATCCTAATCATTCAACTTTTGACCATGCAAAACTATCTTATCATTGTCAACATTTTGGCTGCCATGCAAGGTAAGATATTACAACGTTATTGTGGATTATAACTCATAAAGGGTGTTGGTTTTTTGAAGATAGATTGTCATTTAACTAGACTATGAATGGAAGGATAGGGCCATGGGTTTCATATGTGTTCTTGGATGGGATGATTTCTGCTCACATCTTGGATAGTTAGTCAGTTTGAGATCCAGTTTACTGATTAATATGTGCTATACCTTAACTGAGGGTTAATGTTAGTCTCTGTCTGCACTCTGCAGTGATAATCCATCATGATTATAACTGTTTTGGAATGGTGTTATATATTATTGCATGTTTTATTGAACATGTCTTTTGTTTCTTATGTTACTTTCGTGTTGATCACAGATGTCTGAGACTTCAAAATGTGCTATGCACTGCAGAAACTAGTGTAAGTCGTGCTTTCTAGAATTTCATGAAAAATTTTCTAGAATTTTATCTAGCTTGAGATTTATTCATTCCTTAGTCTACATTCTCTTTGGTATTCTATGTTCTTGGAGTCCAAGTTAATATTTTTGTTCCTCAAATGTTTCTTTAGGTACCTCATGCTTGCTAAAGTTTTGGCAATTGCATGCAGTAATCTAAAGAAATCCTGAACAGAGATGCATGACTCTTATAGTACGTTCATGGGGAATGCTTGTAATTGATAAGCTTTCCAGTTATTTCATTTTCTTTAAGATACTAACTTTAATAGTTATTGTCGAAGCATTTGAAAGATTTTGTGTGTAGTATTGTAATAATATTAGTTCAATTTATCTTTGAATTTTTTATTGGCGCATTTATGGTGCTGCTAACGAGACTCAAGACAACAATGATCAGAATGAAATGTAAATGATCCATCTCATGTTCATAGCCAGTTAGCTTGTAACGAAATTCAGACTGAAAAAAAAATGCAGAACTTTATCATTTCTCACTTAGAAGCTATCTATTATTTTGCTTGTAACAAGAAGTTACATTTAAATTGGCAATTTAGGAACTGTATCATATGATGTTATCATAATTTCATGCTCTATTACGCATATCTATTGATCATCTCTATATTGTAGCACGTGGTTTTGTCAAATTTCTCCTGCATTTTACTTAGGAAACACGCAAATCATTCAGATGACATCTTCAATTTATTGCTTGAACCTTTATGATATGGACTAAAAGTATTTGAGCACCTCTAACATGTTACATGGTATATATTCATGCATTGTGATTTGTAGGATTTGTTGAGTGAATGCAAGCTGCAAAAACTTATACTACGATGCATCAGATCCAAAGAACAAGTAAGTTTGCAGCACGCCCATAATGGATATAATATTTATTTACATCACCCACATAAAGGACCAACTGTTTATTTCAGTTGCCAGTAAATAAAATAAGATAGGATGGGCATTATATAAAAACAGTAGTTAGCTTACAACTAAATAACTGCATTGAGTTTGTTTATTTATTTTGTTTAATTTTATTCTTCCTCATTGTAGTCTGTCTTGGAGACCTACATTCTAGCATCTCTAGTCCCTTATTGGAGGGACAAGTGAGTTTTATACATTGCATAAGGTTTGAGTAGCACAGTACAATGTCAAATAGGCTCACTTATGTTCCTTTTCATGTATAATTGCTCTGTAAATTGTCATGCTAACTCGAATGTAGAAGACATATATGAAGTTCATATACTATTTTTATATACGAGAGCCTATTGAGGATATAGATTGTCAAAGTAGAAAAGAGTTGAAAGATTCAATTTTCACACCATGCTGAAGCACCTCCTCTTTTGATGTGTTAGTTATGTTATATTTAGCAAATATATAGATTGTGTTTCTCTGCATGGGTTAATTGCCTACTCGTTACTTTGGTGTTGATGCTTTCATACGCTCCATTTTACAGATTGATGGATTATGCAAGCTTCTCACTCAACATAGTAAAACATTATCATCGCTAGAATTTGTTCACTGTTCACTCTCCTTAGATTTTGTTAATGCAATATGTGGTGCTCTGGTTTTAAATGGTGTCCAAAGACATGAGCTACAGCACTTCTCCATCAATTCATCAAGCTTTCAAGAATCAGGAACAATTCCATTGCCCATTGGACTTGTGTCTTTTTTGTCTTCAGGAAGGTTCATATTCGCAATTGTTTCTCTCTAAAATAGGTTATTGCTTAGTTGTAGTCTCTATTGATTGCACAAAATCTACTAAGTTTCAGTGCGCAAAATCTGGATGTGATTGGAAAAATTTGATAGTTTTTTTCTCTCTGGTAATTTTTTTTTTTCAATGCTTCTGTTACTGTCAGGTCATTGTGCTCATTAAAATTCTCTGACAACAGCCTTGGCCGGACTTTTGCACAAGCTCTTTTTCATACTCTTCTTAATCTTTCTTCTAGCATATCCATCCTTGACCTTTCTGAGAACAATGTGAGTTTTTCATCCTTATATTTTGTGTTTTGACTTATTAATATTAGGTTACCATAAAGTTTCACACACTTGTAGATAGCAGGATGGCTCTCTGACTTTAAGCGGAGGCCCTTGAGTGATTCCCATGTGTCTTTTGAAATTGGGAAGTCCTTGCAACTGTTGCGAGTGCTTAATTTGAGGTAGCATGCTTCTAAAATGTAATTTTATACTTTCAGCTTGATAGGAATTCTTCTGTTACCAAATTTTGTTGGCTGTGATGAACAGCCGGATGGTTACTGAAGATGAATGAAGGTTTCTCTAAAACTTTGTTCTAGTTCATGTATGTCGCATAACATCAATTCCATTTTTCTGAGTCGTGCTAATGTGAGCTGCCGGAGGACAAAGGCAATAAAATTAGAGCAGTTGCTTTTTCAGATTTATTCCATATTTGATGAACATGAAGTTTCTAATCTGGCTGTAGGGGAAATAATTTACGGAAAGATGACGTTGAAAGTCTTGGATATGCTCTCGCTCAAATGCCTAACTTGGAGGATCTGGATTTAAGTGACAATCCCATTGAGGATGAAGGAATCATGTGAATTGTGTTTTTGTTATCTAGTTGTATATACTTTAAAATATATTTTAGGTTTCTCACTTTCTTTTGTCAAGTTTACAGGAGTTTGATTGAAGCATATGAATCACGCTCTGCCTTGGCTAACTTGAAATTGGAGAACTGTGAGCTGTCCTGTGATGGTGTGAGTCATCTTCTTGATGCCATTTCTACCTTTGAAGGACGATTGAAGTCTCTTTCTGTTGCTGACAATTTCCTTGGAAGGTTTGTTTGTAGACAAGCAAATTTACATATTGTCACTCAAATCCTCTCTCCATTTTTGTTTTAATTGATTTTTGGCATTTAGTGAAATAGCTGGGGCTTTAGCAAAATTTATGGGCACGTCTATTAAAACACTTGATGTTGGAGGCATTGGATTGGGTCCATCTGGTTTTCAAAAGCTTCAAGACCTAATGAAGGGAGAGCTTGAGCTTGTGAAAATTAATATAAGGTTTGAAGTTGTGCTTTTAATTCTGTTTCCTGTGTCGTTTGGTTTAGCTTGTGGAAGAAAATGACACGTTATTCTATTTGATCAGCAAAAACCGTGGTGGGATTGAAACTGCTATGTTTTTAACAAAGCTCTTGTCACACGCTCCACAACTAACCGAAGTGAATGCAGCAATGAATCTTATGCCAATAGAATGCTTGACCATCGTCTGTGCTGCATTGAGACTGGCAAGAGGTATTTCTATTGTAACTGGTTCTTGTATTTATGTCCTTGGCAATTGAGTAACTTTGTGATTATTAAGTCGATTAATTGCTGAAACATGGCCGCTGAACTCCCATATGTAATCGCTGTAATGTTAATAAGCAATAACAATGAATTATGGTCACAGTAAATATTTAATTCAACTCATCTTTCAACCTGGCTTCATCCAATCCCATTCACTGATTGCCCATGGACTTCAAATTTTCAATGGAGTCTGGATTATACTTCACATATCCAACTGATGTTTTTTGTGGGGGCCTTGACATATCCAACTGATTTATAGCACGTATTTATTAATTATGTAAGCTTGTAAGTCTAAGTTTGCAATTGCAGTTTTGTGGTTATAGCTTGAAAATGACAAGTAATTTAACGTGACAGCCACATCAATAGCAGACAAGTCTGCCAACCTTGTGCCTTGTGTGATGTTAAATTGTCCCATGTTTGCTATTTCTTTGCTTAAAACCTGTTAAATGTTAGCTAAAGTAGAAAATGCCGCTACTGCTAACAAATGTAAAGTAGAATTTGTATATCCTCGTGTATCACACTTAGTCAAGTTACTTGATCTCTTTGGGGAGTTGGTGTGAAGCTATTGGGAATTGTCTTTTCACGTTTGAATTCTACCTGTCACCTTCAGATTTAATTATGTCATCGCTATTATGCTTTAGGTAATCTTGAGCATATGGACTTATCGGGACATATTTGGAAGTATGAATCAGATCATGCTTCACTTCATGCTGAGTTTGTACGTAATGGAAAGCATATGTTGATTCTTCCATCATCATCTGCGTTAGTTGCACCTTATGATGATGATCCTTAGACAACAGATCTCACATGCTCCGAAGGTTACAAGCCATGTTCTTTTAACTCCTTGATCATAGTGCATGTTGACACTGTTGCTTGTATATTGCCTGCAAAATATACTACGACGAAGTTTGAAGCAATTTTACCATCTGGATTTCAAACCTGGGCAGACCTATTGTCTTTTGTTTTGATTAATGAGATCTCTTTTTCTCCTCAGTATATCAAAATTTCAGCGGGCCTTACCTTTATTTAGTTAATTAGATAATCCGCTACTACACGGACAAATATGTTGTATCATAACAATCTAAATCATGGTGGATGGTGATGGAAAAGATGGAAAGCTGGAAACAGACACCATGTCCTATCCCACCCATAAAGAGATGGACAGAATTGGCTCATGGAAAGCTATTTATTTCCTTATTATAACAGATTGGAATAATGTTACTGCTCCTTAATTATTCTTGTGGCTCTTTTAGTTAAAGTTAGATGAAGTTATCCAAGTATGCAAGGAGTATCTTGACAGTTTTTCTAACTTGTTTTTCAATGCAGGCAAAAAGAAGGAGAATTCAAATCGAGATTACTCAGACCTCTAGGCTAGGACTCATTTTCCAAACAATATACAGTTAATTGCCCAAGTCTTTCAAACTTCTCATCATCCACTTGGCTGAACTTGCTTAGGGTTATTATACGAAATAGAACCTAACGTGATGGAGCAAAAGCAGGAGGGGACAACTGTTGTTTTTCTCGTCATCGGCCTTTGTTGGGCTTAAGTCCAAAATTGGTTGTTGATTTGGCTTTGTCGTGAAGTTACGCTGTTTTTTCTGCTGTGTCCCATCTAATCGCAGAACAAGGTGGACCAAACCATATAATTTAATTATAAAGTAGTGATTCTTGTGAAAGACCCGTGAACAAACAATCTGGAGCTATTATTTAACTCATCTCTCTTACAATTTTACGCTTAGCCTTCACCATTTATCCGGATATGCGAAACGTCATGGGACCATCATAATTATCGGAAATGATAAGTAAATGAATTATAGTTTATAAAATTGATATTTAACGATTTATAAGGTTGAGTTCTCGTTTAGGAATTATAGGAATGGGTGATTATTATTATTATTATTATTATTATTATTATTATTAGTACTGCTACGTTTATGTTGTTTTGAAAACAATGGTGAAATTTAAAATTTAAAATATTACTATAACATCGTGAAAAATGGATTGCAACCCAAGAAACCAAATATTGCAAATAAACCAAATATCTGCATGCTTATCTTGACTAGGAACTTCTTGAATTGTTTTAGAAGGTTGAGAGCTTTGAGAATTTGAGGATTAAATATAATAAGGGCGTTTGCTTTTGCTCTGGCTGTCAACACCTAATAGATCAAGATATTGCAAGGCTTTGGATAACTTTAATATCTGTACGGTTCAAAAATGTGATCCACTTTACTTGTCTTTTCTTGTTAATTTTTCTTCTTCTACTGTATTTGTTTTATCTTTGACATTGTAAACTATATTTTATTATTAATATATTTGTCTTTTTACAAAAAAAAAAGGAAAAGAAACCAAATATTGACCTTGACAAGCGTTAATAATGATTCATTTATATCATCTCATTCAGGGACATTAACTTCTAAAACTAACCATTAATTTCGAAAGTTTTAGGTTGTTACAAGGCATTTTCCCTGACTTTTATTCTAAGCGCCAGATTGCTAAAAGCCTGAAACTTTCTTTCTGCTGTATATAAAAAGTTGCCATGATTATAAGATCATATAAGCCATATAAGATATGTATGAGGGGGTAAAAATTAGTATAAGAAGCCTAGTGGTCAAACAAAGAATTCTATAAGATTGGACTACATCAGGGATCATCTCTGAGTCCTTATTTGTTTAACTTGATTTTAAATGTTTTGACGGAACATATTCAAGAGGAAATCCCGAAATGTATGCTCTTCGCGGATGATATAGTTCTTATAGCAGAGACAAGAGAAGAGGTTAATTGCAAACTTGAGTTATGGAGGAGGACATTGGAGTCGAAAGGTTTTCGTCTGAGTAAAGTAAGACGGAATATTTATATTGTAAATTTGGTAAAGGACTATTCGAAAATAATTTGGAAGTGAAATTGGGAGATCAAATTATACCTCAAGTGAAAAGTTTAGATATTTGGGAGCCATTATTCAAAATGATGGCGAAATCAGTGGAGATATTACACATAGAATTCAAGCTGGGTGGTTTAATTGGAGAAAAGCTAAAGGAGTTATTTGTGACCGTAAGGTGCCTAATAAACTTAAAGGAAAGTTTTATCGTACTGCTATCAGACCGGCAATGTTATATAGTAGTGAATGCTGGGCTCTAACGGGACAGCAAGAGTATAAAGTTGGAGTAGCAGAGATGAGAATGTTACGATGGATGTGCGGACATACACGTAAAGATAAAATTCGAAATGAGCACATATACCAAAAAGTGAGGGTGGCACCTATTGAGAAAAATGGTAGAAAATCGGTTGAAATGATTTGGGCATGTACAAAGAAGACTAAGGGAGGCACTAGTGAGAAGAGTGGAACATATAACTTTGAGTCCGATTAAGAGAGGTAGAGGAAGGCCTAAGAGAACACTCTTGAAAGTTGTTGAACGTGATCTCTTAATTAATAATATTTCTAAAAGCTTAATAAATGATAGAGCACAATGACGTCTTGCAATCCATGTAGCCGACCCCACCTAATGGGATAAAGGCTTGTTGTTGTTGTTGTTGATTATAAGATCATATATTCAGCTGGATATTAGCAAATCAACAAGAATTGGGTTTACCAAAAGGATTAATCCCTCAAAAGAAATGTTCATGTTTAATGTTCGATTATGCCTTGAACATAATTACTTTTGATAAAAGAATACTTGATTACTCTTGCACAAGTGCAATGATATTAACAAACACTACTGTAGGGACTTTTTACTCAACAGGTGAACTAGTAGCCTTTAATAATAACAATAAACAACAGCAACAACTTCCTTTCATTACTTATCTTGATTTCAAATGATATGAGTGATTTATAAGAATGAATTTATCTAAATAACGTGCAACTAAGGGATTAGCTTGCCTTGATTTCATCTCCACGGAAAAGTTAATTGGCTTTCAAGTTGGTGAGCACATTATTTTCATCAAAATTTCTGTTCAACAACTTACGGGTTATACCTTGTAATGTTCACATTTCTTTAACACGACTCAAGCTAATTCAGGAACTCGATGCTTAGTAAAAATTCATTTACCCGTCCCAGTATAATTTGCTTGTAGGTAGGTTTCTTAATTTGGTAATCAACGTTATCATCTCTATCCATTTCAAGACTGAAACGTTTCGTATTGAGGGCATTATGCTTTTAGTTCTGGCAATTAGTACGAAAGCATTCTGATGAATTAAACGCGCTGGAGACTAATTTTCTTTTGAAAACTACGGAATATTTCTTTGTGTGCAATTAAGCTTTAATTTCAAACAAAAAATAATTGCTCGTGTCATGTCATTTACTTTGTAACGTGCTTTTCTATTTTTATTACTTCAGCTGATGATTTGACGCGAAGCAGTAGTGATTAAAGGGATCCAATGTCAAGTTCTGGATATAACAAATTTGTGAGGTTTCAGTTCAATGTACCCAGAAGAAAAACCTCCACCGATTGGATTAATAATTATATTGAGTTCAGAATATTAGGTGAAACTGTATAATCAAATTTTGTTGGTGATTTGATGTCAACTATAGTCACTATAATCTATATCTCCCCAACCACATAATTGTTTTCCATATATGTATTTTTTGCGTGGTATTGTCTCGGCGCCTGCTTATAAGAAATAATCTGTGGCAAAATTTTAACCATCTCTGGTTTTAAAAAGCTTTGACAAGAACTGGTGATGAGGACTTTTGGCTACTCATAAAGCCTGTACCCTGTAGTTGCAGCACAAGTTTGCGACTCATTGAATTTGTATATTTCGTTTTGCAAAAAGCAAAAGTAAGGAGTAGCGTGAAGTGAAACATGATCATCACTTGATTGCGTGTTTATTTTCACATTGGAAATTAGGATGCTGCTTACACTAAAACTGTGAGGTTCTGATAATTTTTAATATAAAATTAAGAAAAAATAATAATAAATTTTTTTAATTATATAAATAACAATATAATCATTTGAAATGCTATAATTTCAATGTCAACAAATTTTAAAGTAAAAAAATTATTTTGCTTTTATTGAAAAGGAAAAACATATATTTTGATACCTGCACTTGCTCGTATTTTGTTATAGATTTTTATATTTTTTAATGTTTTTGGTCCCTATACTTTCATTTTTTGATATTTTACGTTTATCCAAGATCCTTACATTTTATTCATTTAGGGATCTAAAATGCCAAAATGAAAGTGTAAGGACCAAAAATACAAAAAAAAAGTACAAGAATTTATAACAAAATACGAACAAAATGCAAGGAGCAAAATGTATGTTTTCCTATTAAAAATAACAAATTCTATAACAACTTTGTTAAAGAATAATAATTTTATTTAAGAATTACAAGAGTTGATAAAAAATAACAACTTATTAAATATAATCATTATTATTACAAAACAAATACCAATCACAATTTTTAATTAAAGAATAATAATTTTTGTTCAATGAATCACAAATATCGAATAAAAAATCATAACTTATCAAATGTAATTTTGTTATGAAAAATAAGTTCTCAAAATAAAAATCTCAATTACAATTTTGTTTAAGAAATAATAACTTTTATCTAAAGAATAAAAAAATTGAACAAGAAATCACTAACTTGTCAATAAAGGCAAAATAATCTTTTTAATTTAAATTTATTAACACAAAGAATTTATGATATTTTGAATAATTATATATTATTTATATAATTAAAAATATTTTATTATCATTTTTTAAATCAAACATATTTTAAATTAATATTGGAGGCTAATTCGTCTCTTTTTGGACTGAGTGTTTACAAAATTAAATAGGGACATTTATGTCGGCAGGGGGAAAAGATGGGAACTGCTGCAAATGCAAAGAATGTTTAAAAAAAAAAAATCAAAAATTCAACCCAAAGAGTGGATATTCTACCTAGCATTGTACTTGGTACCTTGGAATCAATTTAAAAAAAAAAAAATTGCAATCCATGTGAAAGTGCATTTTGCATGCTATAAATGCAAATTTAGAGATTCCCAGTCCTTGCAAAATAAACAAAGTCAAATTCTAACGTGTGTACGGTGAAATCCGATTTTATGATATTTTCTACGTATTTGTCTTCAATTTTACCACCTCCTCCATTCTACACCTTCTTCGTCCCCGCGACGCTTCAGCAATAGCAACCAACCAGTGATGATGTCCTTTCACTGGCGTCTGACAACGATGTCCTTGTCAGTAACGAACCACAACAATATGCACCCTTGTATTTCATAGACAGCAATGTGCTTTGCCTCTTTACTCTTAACAGTGATGGATTTCAAACCAAAACAGGATAGCAAAGATTTTTTCGATCGCCTCCACTCGTCGCTTCCTCTTTGGTGATCATTCAATGCCTGAGATTGGCTCTTCCTCATTCCATGCCATAGGCAACGTTAGTCGGTGTCCCATTTGCTTCACTTGCTTCGTCCATCTCCCTCTTATTGAGTTATTATCTCTCTGCCTTTCAAAGCCAAAATCCTTTTTTTTTTGAAAGGATATTTTTATTTTTTAATTTTAAAAACGCATACTTATGAAAATTATATTGGTCCCGTCACATGTTAAATATATTTTTATAAGTTAATTATAGTTGATTTCAATTTCATAAAAACTATTTCATCTTATCAAATCAAATAGAATCTAAAGGAGAAGCATTGGGGAGGATTCGAGAAATTAAGATTAAAAGCACATATACATGGAAAGGCAACCCACTTATATACAAGAATTACAATTTTTTATATGTCTTTCTTTCTTTCTTTTTTTGAACATATTTGAAATATAAGGATTATTGTATTGCCAGACTTTTTAAAGGATGGTTGAAAAGATGTGTTAAGCTAAAGAAATTTAATAAAATAGAAAATTGCTCTAAAATCCTAGTCATTTAGGAATATTAAAATTGTCAATTGCTTGTTATTAAAGTTTTTCAGTTACTAATTAAACAATATTAGCAATTAGCATTAGCAATTTCGTAATTTTATAAGAATTTTTTAATGATGAGATATCTGTCTTAAACAGTCGCTTAAGTTTTCAACGTCTCATCCACGATCGCCTTCTCTAGCCCGTCGATTGTGCCCCGTCATCTCTCTCTATCTCTCTCTCTCGCCATCAACTTTGCTATTTCCCCGTACGACTGCGACTCTCTCCCCCACACCCGAAAACCTCTTCGAATTTGACGGCTCCTCTACATTTCGCGGTTCTACTCCTCAGTCCTCAGCCCCCCCATCTGAGTCTCTTCCCACATTTCCCGTTCATAGAACCCACCCGCACACACTCCCCCAAAGCCCCATTATTCAAGTCCTAAAGTCAATTTGGTACCACGTTATGTTAATCCAAGCATGCAGATTATTCCGTATCTCAGGTACCTAATGTGAATAGCCGTGCTCAGTGTTAGTACATCATTAAAGGATAGAGACACCAGCATTCACGTGCTAAACAAGCATATAATTCCCGTCTCATATCTCCCAAAAGATGTGGGAATTTGACATCCCCCAAGCTTATCCCGTGCATGCTTGATATTGAGAATAAAGGTGCCTGTGTACCAAATACATCCTAAGTGGCATATTTTTGCTCTCTGAACTCTAGTTAGTTCTACCTGAACACGAGGGGTGTTCAATCGCATAGCAATAATTCCAGTCTTCTTTTAGTGTCAAAATACAAACTATTTTATGAGGTCTAACGAGTTCATCAGCAATGTCCGTTGTTGCAAAGTAGAAAATCCAAGAAATATGAAAAATGATCTCTTATGGTTGCAGTCTTTTGAAATATTAAGCAATACCAGTTTGACCTTGGCTAAAAAAAAAAAAAAAAAAAAAAAAACAGAGCAACAAGAGTTAAGGGTAAGAAATTGGAAAAGCATTTGCAAGAAATAAACGTTGATTCTATGAAGAGGAAGCTTATTGGCTGAATGCTGCCGACACCCTAGCAATTATTAATGAATCTTTCACTCTCTTATCGTGACTTTTTAGATATTTGTTGTTGCGGTATATTGGTATTTTAAATTGCGGCGCTCCCAACTCCTATATTTTGATCTTGCTCCAGTGAAACTGACACCAAATCGAGCAATGATGAGCCAATGAGTATTGTGCTCTACATTTGCAGAGGCTCTTATTAACTAACTTGGCCATTTGAAACATTAAGGAATTTATGATTAACTGTCTGTGAGTAGCTTCTACATAACAATTGGAGATATTGGTTTCAATTTTTCATTTGGTCTTTAGGTTTCTTCCCCCACAATAATTGTTGAAAGAGCAGGACTCTTTGCTTGGACACACAAAAGCTGGAGAGTTAGAGAGGAGTTTGCTCGGACTGTCACATCTGCAATTGGTCTATTTGCATCTACTGAGCTCACCCTTCAACGTGCTATTCTTCCTTCAGTATGTTTATTGACTTTTAGCAGTGAGCAGCACATATCATTAGAATGTTTGCTATTTTAGGACGTGATACTAACCCTTTCCATTTTGATCAATTTCAGCTTTTGCGGTTGCTAAATGATCCAAATCCTGGTGTTAGGGAAGCAGCTATCTTGTGCATTGAGGTTAGCTTCCCCAATCTTTGTGTCTTTACATATTATTAGGTATAGAACCCATTATCAAGTTTATCTTAGTTCACGCAAATAGACAAAACGTGGGGGAGGGGATTCCATATTGATAGTTGGCTTGAATGATTATGGGTGAAAAAGGAGAAAAAGAAAGAAGTGCTAGTATTGTGTACTGTTTGCAGCTTTTCTTAGAAAGTTGCTCTCTCTATATGAATCCGCGTATGCCTTTGTCTGATTTTTTCTTGTGGTATCATTTAGCAATATGCTTCTGAAGATTGAAGAGTGGAATAGTGGTGGTGGGTCTATTTTAGAAGGTGTCATTTGATGTTTGAATCATGTTAAACATGGATCATAACTGATAAAATTAAAAGCTGATGTGATCTTAATTTATCCTAAAGTAGGAGAAGAATGTTATTTAGTGCTTTTGTTTTAAAAAAACATTTTCTCTTGACAGGAGATGTATGCACAAGCTGGTCCTCAATTTCGTGATGAACTTCAGCGCCACAACCTTCCTTCTTCTTTGGTAATTACCAAATAGGGAATCAACTATCTGATGTGGTGGTTATTTCATACACACACTGCTTGATTTGGACTTATTGAGGCCCTTCTCCTATATCTTGCCAAAAGTATGTGACTTTTCACTATTCTTTTTTTTTTTTTGGTTAAATTACTGTGGTTTCAGGTGAAAGATATTAATGCTAGGCTAGAGGGTATTCAACCAAAGTACGTTCTTCTGATGGCATACCTGGTGGCTTTGTTGCTGGAGAAATTAAACCTTTAAGCTTTACTTCCAAGAAAAGCAGCCCAAAAGCTAAAAGTTCATCAAGGGAAAACTCTATTTTTGCAGGTTAGATTGTTTGTAATTCTTGGATAGAGGGAGATTTGAGAATGTGAGTATGCAAATAAGGCTCGCACTCTATCACAGTGAGGGAGTTTTGGATATATATATATATATATATAAAGAATAAGTATCTATAGTCATGTTCTTATGAAATGAAGCATATCAGACATAAGAAAAATAAAATGTACTAAATCACATGAACGCTTGGCAAGAATAAATGAATATGAGAAATATAAAATACTGCAAATGTAATTAACTCTGAACTATTCATTCTAACTCTCTTGCACTTATTCTGAAATTGCATTATATTCTTATTACAATTATTTGGTAGTTGTGATGGACATGTTTTGTCTCAGGATCACAATTTTGCTTTGATTTTTTCAAAGTTTGATTTGCCTCATTCTATATCATTAAACTAGCACTGAATGCAACGATTATACTCTTTTTTGGCATTACTCTTGAGCTTTCAAGTTATGTTGGGATGATTTGCATGTTTTGCCTAGATGATCATTGGATCCACCTTGAATCCATGTTGGTCATGGGCTCTGACCAATTTTAGTTGGTAAATGGAAGAAAATTTCTTCGGCATGCCTTCAATGGGGAATACTGAAATGTGCCATAAGATGCTGTTAAATGTGTAAAATATGAGATGATTATGGTGGTAGAAGTTAGATGAAATTAGGGAGAACAACCACATGATTGGAAGAGAATCACCTGGGAAGTCCTATGTTGGAAAAGATTCCAAGTTTTATGCTGTTAATATAGTAAGCCAACCCCACTTAGTGGGATAAGATTTGTTGTTATTGTATGCTGTTAATATAGTAGGTATAGTCTGATAATTTTGGTACACATATGCTTCTGTTCTTTGAGAAATTTATGATGCTCAGATACTTTCATTACTAAACACTGCTTTTTTGTTTATATTCTATTATGATTTACGAGCAGGAAATGGTGATGTCACAGAGAAACCCATAGATTCTATCAAAGTGTACTCTGAGAAGGAGTTAATCAGGGAAATTGATAAGATTGCATCTACCCTTGTCCCAGAAAAGGATTGGTCAATTCGTATTGCTGCTATGCAGAGAGTTGAAGGTCTTGTTTTGGGAGGTTGGTGTTCCAAATCTCCTGTTCAATAGTATGTTCAGGAGTTGTATCATATGCTTATGATGCAGTTCAATGAAAATACTTCTACTATCTGTTCTCGCACCTGGGTTTCGCAGAAGTAACTTTATTGGGATGTCTAATGGTTATTCCAAGTCTAGATGGGCAACGAAACTTGCAACCGTAAATTTATTTGATGTGATGAGATTAGTATGAAGAACTTCTGGTGATCTTTGTCTTAAATTAGTGAAGTGCTTTAGTCTTTGTCCATTGAACTATGGCATGAAATAATTATGGAATTGATCGAAGAAATAGATCTTTGACAAACAATAAGAAGTGTAAGAGAAGTGTTTATAGGGTCCAAAAAATTCTAATCTACTGAGTGCCACCTGTCTACCAAGTACCAATTTGGGGTGCATATAGAGGTACTTTTTATAAGATCCAAGTTCCAAAAAGAACCAGGGCTTATGTAGCAGTTCAAAACGATAATTGCACTGTTGAAAATTTAAACTTCTGTTCATCTATTTAGGTGTTTTACTAGATATATCTTTTTGTCAGTGTCACAATAGTGGACATCTTTTGAATGCTTTCATTATCAGGTGCTGCTGACTATCCATGTTTTCGAGGACTCCTGAAGCAACTTGTTGGACCTTTAACCACTCAATTATCAGATCGAAGGTCCAGCATTGTGAAGCAGGTGTGTTAACATTTCTTTTTCTCATGTTTGCATATTGATTTTTATCCCCCTTTTAAGAAAGCAAGTGCGTGTGTCAAAATCTTATCATGATACATTTTTTTTTTTCTTTTTTCTTTTTGCTTTGCTGCTCTAGGCTTGCCATTTATTGTGCTTTCTGTCAAAAGAACTCCTAGGTGATTTTGAAGCTTGTGCTGAAGTGTTCATACCTGTAAGTTCAATCTTTTCCCTTGATTAGTATGATTGTGTTGCTTTAATAGTGTTCATCAATAATCAATTTTCATCTGTGAATCAGGTCCTTTTTAAGCTGGTTGTGATCACTGTACTGGTAATTGCAGAGTCTGCAGATAACTGCATAAAGACGGTATTGCAAATCTTATGTAATTTTCTGCAGCCCTTTTCTCCCCTTTCGTTATGCTGTATTCACGTTGGCCCTCTATTTTCCAGATGTTGCGTAACTGCAAAGTTGCCCGAGTGCTTCCTTGTATAGCTGATTGTGCAAAAAAGGATCGCAATGCAGTACTTCGTGCAAGGTATGGTTGTCTACTTTCTGGGATAAAATGTGGGTGTTTTGCGCTTTGATTTATGCCTTTCATGCTGTAGGTGTTGTGAATATGCTCTTTTGATATTGGAACAATGGCCTGATGAACCAGAAATACAGCGATTGGCTGACTTATATGAGGATCTGATAAGGTGTTGTGTTTCAGATGCAATGAGTGAGGTAGCTTTCATAGTTTTAAGTTATTTGAATTCACGACTTCTGTCTGTAATTTGTAATTTCCTGAATGATATTGTAGTCTTCCAATTTATCCTAAAGACCTATATGAAGTTGTGCTGAAGTGTTCAACCTGTAAGTTTTTTTTGATTAGATGATTTGTGCTTATAGTGTTCATCAATAATCAATTTTCATCTGTGAATCAGGTCCTTTTTAAGCTGGTTGTGATCACTGTACTGGTAATTGCAGAGTCTGCAGATAACTGCATAAAGACGGTATTGCAAATCTTATGTAATTTTCTGCAGCCTTTTCTCCCCTTTCGTTATGCTGTATTCACGTTGGCCCTCTATTTTCCAGATGTTGCGTAACTGCAAAGTTGCCCGAGTGCTTCCTTGTATAGCTGATTGTGCAAAAAAGGATCGCAATGCAGTACTTCGTGCAAGGTATGGTTGTCTACTTTCTGGGATAAAATGTGGGTGTTTTGCGCTTTGATTTATGCCTTTCATGCTGTAGGTGTTGTGAATATGCTCTTTTGATATTGGAACAATGGCCTGATGAACCAGAAATACAGCGATTGGCTGACTTATATGAGGATCTGATAAGGTGTTGTGTTTCAGATGCAATGAGTGAGGTAGCTTTCATAGTTTTAAGTTATTTGAATTCACGACTTCTGTCTGTAATTTGTAATTTCCTGAATGATATTTGTAGTCTTCCAATTTATCCTAACTAGACCTATAATGAAGTAGCTGTTCTGCATACGTGACCAAGGAACCTAGTATGTGTTTGGTAGTTGAAGTTGCAGAAAGTGAAGGGAAGGAGTTTGATTAAAATTTTGAATTCTTTAAAATGTTTAACTTGGTGGATTGTGGAAATGATACTGAAATTTAGAAATCCTTCTAAGTTATATTGGTGGATTACTTTTATGTATAAATATTTGCATGCATTTACTTATAAATAATTAAAATTTGGAATCTTTGAATGCATAGACAACCTGCTTTTACGGTTTATAATTAGACAGAAAATTGGATCTTTCTAATTGTTTCAAAAGGCATTTGTTTGAATTGCAATGACTAAAGTTCAATCACCCAACGAGGAAGCAATGAAAAATGCTTACTATTTTAACAGTTAGTTTTGTAGAGACTCAATGCTTTCTTGCGACCATGGTCATCAGGTGATAAGTATCGACCCAATTTGTTGCTTGTTACAAGTCTTGCATGCGTCTGCTAGTCTATGAGTTGATCTCACATTTAGGAAAGTGGGATGGCATCATCATTTTTTTAAAGACTTTTTTGTTGAATAGATTGACATAATTATCTGATTCTTCTGTTTCATTATACAATTTTGGTTGCTAATATATCTGAGAGTTTCTCTTTTAACTTGCTGTTAGGTTAAGATATAAAAATGTAATCAATCTTATTTTTTAAAAAAAGCTTGTCCTTTTTGTTTACCTAAATTTATTCATTCGGGACAGAGATTTTTCAGCAATTGATATTCATTGATGTCATTTTCATTTATGGTTGGAAATAATTACGTGATATTTGATAGGTACGGTCTACTGCAAGGATGTGCTATAGACTATTTGCAAAAACATGGCCTGAACGTTCCCGTCGCCTATTTTCATCCTTTGATCCAGTTATTCAAAGGGTATATCCTTTAAATCAGGTGCTATTTATCCTTGATTTTGTTTCTTAGCCATTTTAAGTGATTGTAACTTGCAGTTAATAAATGAAGAGGATGGAGGAGTACACAAGCAACATGCTTCACCTTCCATTCGTGACAGAGGTGCACTGGTGTCATTAAATAGCCAAGCCTCTGCTCCTTCTAATCTACCTGGATATGGAACTTCTGCTATTGTTGCAATGGACAGGAGTTCAAGTTTATCATCAGGGACATCTGTCTCCTCTGGTTTACTTCTTTCACAGGCAAAATCACTTGGTAAAGGTGCTGAGCGAAGTTTGGAAAGTGTGTTGCATTCTAGCAAACAGAAGGTCACTGCCATTGAAAGCATGCTCAGAGGCTTGGATTTGTCTAATAAGCATAGTTCTGCTCTCCCGTCATCCAGCTTGGATCTAGGTACCAAAAAAGTTTTCCTGTCAAAAATATGATTATTTTTCACTCTTGATGTTTTGATATGGTTAGTCTTGCTGTTGGTATAATTTAAAGCTATTTGTGAATGGCTTAATTTTTATCTTATTGCCCCTAGTGCAGGAGTTGACCCTCCATCATCTCGTGATCCACCATTCCCTGCTGCTGTCCCAGCATCCAGTAATCTGACAAACTCTTTAAGAACAGAATCAGTTGTATCTGGTGTCAATAAAGGTAGTAACCGAAATGGTGGCTTGGGTCTGTCTGACATAATTTCACAAATTCAAGCTTCCAAAAACTCCAGTAAGGTATCATATAATAGTAATACTAGTATTGAACCTTTATCAGCACTTTCATCATACTCAAGTAAAAGGGTTTCTGAAAGATTGCAAGAAAGAAATTCCGTTGATGACAATGGCAACAATAGGGAGGCTAGGTGGGCTATGAACCACCGCATTGATGGGCAATATTTGGATACCCCTTATAGAGAAGAAAACTTTAGGGATTCACAGAATAGTTATGTGCCTAATTTCCAGAGGCCACTAGTGAGAAAAAATGTAGCTGGGCGTATGTCTGCTGGCCAGAGGAGAAGTTTTGACGATAGCCAACTTTCTCTTGGAGAGGTGTCAAGTTATGCAGATAGACCAGCATCTCTCCCTGAAGCTCTAAGTGAAGGGCTTAGTTCAGGATCTAACTGGTCTGCTAGGGTTGCTGCTTTTAACTATCTTCACAACTTGTTACAGCTAGGTCCAAGGGGAATTCAGGAAGTGGTCCAGAATTTTGAAAAGGTTATGAAGTTGTTTTTTCAGCACTTGGATGATCCTCACCATAAAGTTGCACAGGCTGCTCTTTCAACACTTTCGGATGTTGTTCCAGCATGCCGGAAGCCCTTTGAGAGTTACATGGAAAGAATATTACCCCATGTGTTTTCTCGGTTAATTGACCCAAAAGAACTTGTCAGGCAAACATGCTCCATGACGTTGGAAGTTGTTAGCAAAACTTACAGTATAGATTATCTTTTACCTGCATTACTACGTTCACTCGATGAACAAAGGTCTCCTAAGGCAAAATTGGCTGTCATTGAGTTTGCAATCAGTTCCTTCAACAACCATTCACTGAATCCAGAAGGTGCTGCCAATATTGGCATCCTGAAGTCATGGCTTACCAAGTTAACTCCTTTGGTTCATGACAGAAATACAAAGCTTAAAGAAGCGGCCATTACATGCATGATATCAGTATACTCTCACTTTGATTCAACTGCACTGCTAAATTTTATCCTCAGTTTGTCAGTTGAAGAACAAAATTCATTGAGACGAGCCCTTAAACAATATACTCCTCGCATTGAAGTGGACCTAATAAACCATTTGCAGAACAAGAAGGAGAGACAACGCTCTAAGTCTTCATTTGATCCATTTGATGTTGGAACATCCTCTGAAGATGGATATGTTGGTTTCTCTAGGAAAGCTAACTACCTTGGAAGGTATTCTGCTGGTTCTCTTGATGGTGATGGTGGTAGGAAGTGGAGTTCCCAAGATTTAACCCTTGTTAAAGCCAGTTTTTGCCAAGCAGCGTCTGGTGAAAATCAGGAACATCCATATCAAAATAATGAAACTGATTCTACTAGTGGTATTCTTGGTTCAAGGACTAAAGATCCTGTTGATGCTGTCAATTCAATGGGCCAAAACTTTGGCTCTCATAATAGTCAACCTGGGCATTCAGATGGTAACATGGACTTTGAGGGTCTATCAACGCCTCATTTGGATGTCAATGATCTGATGTCCTTAGAACATTTAAATTTAAATGTAGGCTTTGGACTTGAAAAAGATCCTCCTGAATTGGACCTTGATCATTGCTCGCCTGAATATGTCAAGAATAACTTGAAAGATTCAGAGCCTGGCATTCCTCAAATCCTTCATCTGGTGAGTTATGCTGCTAGTATAAGATGAGTTGACTTTGTAACATTTTTAGATTGAATACAAGATTCTGTTGCAGAGTCTGTGCAAGGAGGGAAGATGAGGATTTGCCAAACTGCAGATGTTGTAGAGTAGGAAAATAAAGCAAGAAAAAGAATTAATGATTACTAAATAGTGGCTGTATGCCTTTGCAGAGAGATATAATGGCTGAAATATAGGGCTACACTCCAACCAAAGATACCAAACACTGGAGAAAATAAAACTCATTTATACTTGCCTTTCTAAAATTATAGAAAGGGGCAGTAAGAAAGTGATCTAACTGGGTCGGTCTAATTCAAATCAAAACTCCCCCAAAGCATCAAACAGTGTGCTATGGAACTGCTAAGCTAGATTCTAAACTCGCTGAAAAAAATGCAGATATCAGGAGACAAAAGCTAATTATGACCTACAAGCATGTGATAGATCATTTATACTTTAACCTGTGTCTATTGACAAGATACAATTGTTGCTTTCTGGTAGATATGCAGTGCGGGTGATGGCATTCCTATTTCAAGCAAGCAAGCTGCACTTCAACAGTTAATTGAAGTTTCTACTGAAAATGATTCTTCTATTTGGATGAAGGTATGCTTGATTGATTGGATATTTGATTACCTAATCTCCTTCGTGTCTCCAAGTTTTATGTAAATCTCTGGTGATGACAATGTTAACTGTTTTGCAATGAAAGAGCCAGTCCCTCCATATTTGTGATTTTTTACGAACTTTTTGAATGCAATGAATGTAGATGGACTGATAGTGAGGTTTAATCAGTAAAAAAAAATTTTGTTATATTGAACCATGTCAAACGATAATTTTAGATTTGTTCACTTAATGAAATGATAGTTTCCTGGTGAACTTGCAGTCCTTTAATCAGATTCTGGCAGTTGTGCTTGAAGAGTTGGATGATTCAGACTCCGCAGTTAGAGAGCTTGCTCTTTCAGTTGTAGTTGAAATATTAAAAAACCAGGTTTTTATTTCTTTCATGTCATTCTTTAATCATGTTCTTTACACTCGCTTAATTAGTACTTGTTGGAAACTACAACTATTTTTAATTATGTTATTGTCAGTTGTTTTGTTTGTTTTCTTTTATTCAAAACCTGATTGTTCTTTTGGTTGCATAATATTTCTATGTGATAAATATTAGCTTGAGTGTTCTGTTTCGATTGGGATAGGAGTTGCGACTTTTAGTTGGAGTATATTTATCTTGTATATTTCTCCATAGTTTGCTGTTCAATAAAATAAGTTAAGTGGATTATTAAAACCAAAATTCCTGCAGTACTTGTAACTTTACACATTAGCTCTTGAGCATTTTTGGGACTGACAATTTGATAAGAAAGTTTCTTTTTCCTCCCAGAAAGATGCCATGAAAGAGTCAGTTGAGATTGTAATTGAAAAGCTGCTTCATGTTACAAAGGATACTGTTCCTAAGGTACTATTTCACCAAAATTTTCTTTCTCTACTGTTCCCAGTCTCAGCTTCTTCTATTCTTTGTTTAGGTCGCAAACGAAGCTGATCACTGCCTTACCATTGTTTTGTCTCAGTGTGATCCATTCAGATGTTTAAGTGTATGTATTCCTTAAATTTTCTACTTCATGGACTCCCTCATCTTTGAGAGAAAAAGAAACTTGCCTTGTTAACTTTAAGCTGATGGCTCTGAGTTTGTAACGTTTCAGGTTATTGTCCCTTTACTGGTTACTGAAGATGAGAAAAATCTTGTTACCTCCATAAATTGTTTGACGAAGGTAGTTGTTTCTTACAACCTTTTATCGGCCTTGCAGTTGCACCAAGTGGCGGTTTTATATGAAAAAATCCATCTGAATCTAATTCCAACTTTTCATATATTCTTTTCAATTGAATTCTCTTTGAGAAAAGAAAGAACCAATTTCTTTCACAAATTTAATTTACATTATGGATATGTGTTTTAAAGATAGAATTTGAAATGAGCGCATGAAAAAAAAAAAAGATGAGCATCGCACCTATTGAGGGGAAAATGGTAAAAAATCGTTTGAGATGGTTTGAACATATACAAAAAAGGCTGCGGGAGGCATTAATAGTGGAATGGATAATTTTGAACTCTATTAAAAGGGGTAAAGGAAGGTAAAAAAGAACACTAATGGAAGTTGTTAATCGAGACCTCTTAATTTTTGGTAAATGATAGAAGACAATAGTATTGTACAATTCATGTAGTCGACCTCACTTAGTGGGATAATGCTTGTTGTATTGATATGCATTTTGTATAACACATGCTATTCCTGTGTTCAGCTTATTGGCCGGCTTTCTCAGGAGGAATTGATGGCTCAATTACCCTCCTTTCTGCCTCCTCTTTTTGATGCTTTTGGAAACCAGAGCGCAGATGTTCGTAAGGTAATGGGTCCCTGTATGCAATCATTCATTTCTGGTCCTCTACTTTATGCATCCTATTAGGCGGTAAAAAAAAAAGCCCTATCATCAAGGAGTACCATTAAATGTTCTGTAGTGATCGCTGATCCATATGCTTAAGCTTTCAGCTGGTTTCAGAAAACGGGCTTGTAAAAATTCAAAAGAATTCTGAAGGCTTTTCATGAAATGTTTTTCCTGTGGAACAACCGTGCCTGCTTCCATTGTTCCTTCTTGGAAGTTTGGTTCAATCTGAGACTAGTTCGTTTTACTGGAACTTGGATGGTCAATTAGTTTTAGGTGTTCTAGTAAATTTACTTCCTATTATAGTTCTATATACCTGAGCCACATAGGCGTGCTTCGCATCTACCTTACTAGTCAGCTGCCTGAGTGTCTCTAATCCTTTTAAGTTCATACAGAGCTTTTATTTTTTGTGGTCCTTCAAGATGACTTGCCAATAATATACACAAGGTGGATAATTAATAAAGCTGTCTCTATCTAACAATATTATTTTCCGGGAGCATTGGGAGATTGGTTTTACTTATATTGCATGAAGTGTCAAGGTCTTTTCTGATGCGCTTTACCTCTGTCTATATATGTATTCTTGCATTATTCTCATTACATGTCTATACTTTACGTTGCATGGTACAGACAGTTGTGTTCTGTCTAGTGGACATATACATCGTGCTCGGGAAAGCATTCTTGCCATACTTGCAAGGTCTTAATAGCACGCAGTTGAAGCTGGTCACCATTTATGCAAATCGAATCTCACAGGCCAGAACAGGCACGCCAATTGACACCACTCAGTGATTAGCAGCATCGAGGGGAAAAAAATTTCAATTTGAGATATTGTCTTGTTTGATTTTTGTACATCGTGTGCATGAGTTTACAGGTTGGTTTTGTTTTCTCCATTCCATATATTTGTTACTCCCTTTTTCCCTGCCAATGTTTGTTGGATTTGTAGAGTGGTGGTGGGAAAGTACAGCACGGGAACTGTAATTTGCATTAAGAAAACCATATTTGATTGTATGAAATGGCTTTGGAGTGAAAGCTCAGATGATTGATTCAATCAAGTCTTTTAAAAGATTTAAGTTGTCTGTGTAGCATTTGAGTAAATGAGAGAGGATCAAAATTAATCACTTCAAGTGCTGAATGTTTTAACTTGCCATGACAGAGTTCTTGTCAACGTCGGTGACGGTGGCCCTGGTTGGTGGGATGAAGAAAAAGGCTTTATACCCTTTAGGTAAAGAATTGAATGTCTGGAAGTCGAAAATAAAAGTAAACGAACATGAGTGAGTGAAACTTGACAATTTTTGGATAAGGAGCAAGACATTGTCACTAAGCAACAAAAAGATGAATATATGGTAACAAATAAGCGTGAAGCGTGATGGCTTGGCTCCGGCTAAAATTAATGGTGGAACGGTTTTTGTTTCTAAAAGGAAAACATCACACTGTCGTGTCTGCCAAACTTGATGTACTTTTTATGCGTAATATGGGAGTTGGTAAGAACGTTGATTTTTTGTCGACATTGATGAACATAGTCAGCTATATATACAGTGGCCTATATATGTTCAATATTCATATGGTGTTCACGGGTCACAAAAAGCACACTGCAAGATTTATTGCCACTGCATTGCAAGATGCCAATGTAAAAGCTCAGGAGAATTCAGAAGAATAAAATAAACCCTCTTTGATTCGTTGCTCTTTATTTAATTTAGGCTCAACTTCAATTTTTCTTTAAAACAATATTGTTCGAAATTCGGTCAGTTCCCACGCTTGATAAAAATGAAATTCATTGTAATAAAGAGATAAAATAGACCAAAAAAAAAAAATTTAACATATTAAGTATAAAAAAACTGTTACGTTAAGTTTTTTATTTTTAAAATCTATGACTCAATAATTTTAAATAAATAAGAAAGAAAGGTCTTCAAATGTATCAAAGTGAAGAACTGGAATTATTAAACCACATTCAAACACAAATGCAGAGTCCCATCTTGGGAAGAACTGGAATTTGGAACTTTTTCCTTTCCTGAGCTGTGAATCTGATTTCTATAATTTTGTTGTGATCCAAAAATGAGAGTGTTTGCGGACATTTATTACGACTGTTGGATTCATACAAATTATTATACCTAAATCCAAACTAAAAATCTTACATTTTTATTTAAGATAATTAATATTACCTTATAGTTGAGATATTAAGTCATTTGATAGAGAAATTAGTGTGCGCGTGTGTGAATACAAGAGAAGATGATGAGATGTGTATCTTGGAGGATTATAACATAGCGTGCTTGGATGATAAAGAAAGGATAAGGACTTGAACGTCGCGCAATTAAAGGGAACGTCCTTTTGTTTTGTTGCCTCTTAACCTTTATTTTCTTTAACAATCTTGACAAATTAACAACAGTTCAGTGGCTGAAAAATTTTCTTACTAAAGATGCTAAATGGGTCCGATATAGTAAGAATAACTTTTTAACAAAAGTTAAGCAAGATCAATAACTATTGTTTTCCACTGAAATTAAAATTTGCCATGTTAGCATTAAAATAAAGAGGAAGGAAACTAGCTACTTTGCAAGGAATCCATCTATATCGATCTATCTGTGTACGCATATATGAAAATAACTAAAAAAAAAAAAGTATGTTGTCATTTAGTTTTTTCATAACGTATATATCTGATTAATTATTTTCAAAAATGAAATTATTTGACTACGTTTACAATACAAGTGAAGAATAAAGTATTGTTGTTAAGGGTTTCAATTATTCATTGCAAAAACCTGTTTTCTGGTAATTATATTTGTTATCAATGAAGTTAACTTATTTTTGCATATATATGTCATCATATTTAGGAGAAAAACTATTTAACTACATTCATTATATTATTCTAAGACAAATCTATAAAATCATATGCTAATTATTGAAAGAATAATATTATCAAGCATAATTTTGTTAAATTGGAATTAAAGGCATGGACCCCCCCCCGGGGGGTGAACTAGCTGCAGGTAAAGAAATAGGATAAAATTGTCCCTATGGATGACCTGGGAAGAAAGAAGTACAGTGAATAAAACAAACAAGAAAAGGCTTAAAAAAAAAAAAGGATTGTATGGTGTAGAGGTTTAATTGGCGTGGAAATTAAAAGAACATGAAGCATCAAAAGGACCCAAAAAAATAGTGTTGAAATATTTGGTCTATCTGTGTCATACAAAAAGGGAAAGATGCCCTCTAAGTTTACTCCAGGTAGGAATAACCCTATTTCTGGAAAATATCACTCTCCCTCAGATTTATTAGATTTTTAACCAAATCCAAAGATCTTGCCACAAAATCCAATATTGATCGTCTCTCTTCTTTTTCTTGCTTTTCTTTCCTCCCAATCCTTATCTCGAACCTTTCTTGAGCCCCATTACTACATGCATGTATTTGTGTATATATATCCCTTCTCTTTCCTTCGCTTCGCATCATCATCCTCTTCAATTCCACTGGTTTTGATTTCTCTGTCCAAAACGATTCTAAACAAGCAACTTGTTCTCTATTCAGGTCAGTGCTATGTTCATATATATATATATATATATTCATCTTGACGCCGCATACGTACATCAAGACACTCACACACACACCACCGTCTGTTAGTGTGTAATATGTGTGTGTGTGTGTGTGTGTGTGTGTGTGTGTGTAACGATTGCGCACGTGTTTTTGTGTTTGTAGAGAGAGAGAGGGTAGGAGAGAATGGAAGGTGATAATTCAGCAAGAAGGGAATTAACGGCGCTGGTTGTAGACGATCAAGAAATGTTGAGGAAGATCCACGAGACAATGTTGAACCGTGTTGGAGTGAGAAACGTGGAGGCTGTCAATAATGGAAAAGAAGCCGTGGACATTCACAGAGCAGGCCGAAGTTTTGACCTAATTCTCATGGACTTGGACATGCCTGTCATGAGTGGCGTCGAGGTAACTGTAACGCACACTCAGGAAACTCTCAAAATTTAAGTGTACGTACATATATACAGTAAAAACGTATCTTTGGATTTGGATTAGTATTGAATGCGAGTATGGGGTCTGTGTTGCATGTCGGCGACTGTAAAATGAATGAAGGCGACGAGAGAACTCCGAGCAATGCGAGTCAGAAGCAAGATCGCAGGCGTATCGACGAGAATCGACGAAGCACGAGTTCAGGAGTTCATGGAAGCTGGCATCGATGTCTTCATTGACAAACCCTTGACCTCTGATAAGCTCTCCTCACTTCTTCGCCATATCAACCCTCTTTGATCATGCCTACACTTTTTTGACACTATTTTTGCTAGATACTTTATACAGTAGTACTTGTTTCGTGGAAAGGAACAAATGCAATTTCACCTCTCAACTTATAAATTTAATTTGGAACTTCGATCGCTTTCTCACCCTCTGTCTGTCTTAATCTTAACTCTGGGATATGTATTTTACATATACCTAAATATCCTCCAAAGTTTGAGATTCACTAATTTCTATGAAAATTTTCTTCTTTTTTTTGGATATTTTCTGTTTAATTTATTCTCTCCATTAAAAAATATGAATCATTTTTTATTTTTTAATGTGTAAGTAAGGGTTTCTTTTAAACAAATATTTTTAGTAAATAAATTACTTAATCATTTACTTTTAAGTGAAATATCTTATTAAATAAGGGTTGATATGAAAAAATTGTGTTAATTTAATAATAATGAGCTAGCTTATATCTTAGAGTGTAATTCATTTAAGAATATCTTATATTTTTTAATAAAAGGTGTTATTTTTTTTATAAAATATAAAACTTCTTTTTTAATCAGACAAATTTCATTCAACTTAGAAATTCTCAGCTCCACACTATTCATTGGTATTTTATTGAAAAAATAGCAATCAAGAATCTTTGTATGAAATTTATATTAATCAAGAATCAATTGTTATTAAAATTTGAATGAATAATAAGCTTCAGTATATTGTTGTTAATTTAAAATGAGTTGTTGTTAAAATTTAAATAAATTCTTGTCGATGAAAAATTAATTCAATCAATAAGTATTTATGAGTTTTGATAATAACTGATTTTTAACTTATATAACTTTTACATATATAGACATCATCGATTGCTATTTTTCCTATTTTATTTTTACGTACAGCACTTGCAACTTTTCCGCAACATTTTTAACGTACTCTCACCGCGCGTGCAAAAACGAATGTCAGGATTAAGAGACTTACTTGTGTAGTTACAATTTAAGTGTTTAAGGAACTGTTCTTGCAAGTGACCCCGAATTTAAGGAGGTGTTTCTGTACTTGTCTTATTTTTAATTTGTATTACTGTCAAGGCTTGCGGGTGATCAGCAAACATGCGAACAACATTTTCGAGGTTTTGTGAGGTTGTACTGTACACTCATGGGGTCTTTCAATCATTACTATTTACTGCTTAAATTAATGAGGCTGGTCACCCGAAATGAGTACTTTTAATTATACGAATATTTAACTACAATTACTCCAATACGCTTATGCCTTCGTCTCCCTCCAGGAAGAATTACTTAAATACATGCATTAAAATTTACTTCCTCTTTTTTTTTTTCTATATAGGCCAAGTTTAATTAATTTACATAAATAAAAAGGGTCGGTTGAAATTAGTTAGGGTTTGAAATTTTTAAACACAAACTATTTTTTAAATAGAGTAAAAAAAAACACGTATTTACATCATTACAAAAATGAAGTGTAATTTAAGGACATGTTTGTTTTCATGGTGATAAATTTTGACAATTGCATTTCTTTTCTTTTTTTTTAGTTTTCAACGCGGAAGTATTCACGCAGTGATATTAAGCGTGCAAGAATGGTTGTAATGTAAAAAGGAAATAAGGGCTTGTTGAGTTTTTTATTATTTGACGAAAATGATAGTAGCCATGAAAAATTTGTCAATGACTCATGACAATGTGAAGTAATGGGCTCACCTATAGTAGCCCAAAAAATGTAAGCGGCCCAAAATTAGGGCCAGAAGACTTGGATATGGTTAGCGGATTCGTAAATAAGAACTTAAAATTTTTAAATGGGAAATTCATTCAACCAGTCCCTCTATTTCACACTCATTTTTAGATAGTTTCGTAATAACTCTCGTGTTTCTACTAAGAAACGATATGCATGATGCTATATAACACGTTATAAAAAAAAATTGCAAAATTAGATAACGTTTTATTTTATTCCTTGGATTCCTTCTTCTTTTTTTTTTTTATTGTGTATAAGTTCTGTCTTCTTGAAGACAGTTATGTTCAAGGTATAGTCTGTTCGATATTGAAGACGAGTACCTTTCTTAACCAAATTAATTCTCTCTTTACTGTGATCACCAGCTAATTAATTATCTCCTGCACCAGATGACATGCTTACCATTCTGTTACGTTGTAAACCCCTCTTTTTTTCATAAAAACTAGAATGAACCTCCCATGAGTTACGATATTAGATTTTTTTTAAAAAAAAAAAAACCATTTCCATAACATGGACATCGAAGATCAGGCGTTTGAATCATGTGCATATTTGAAAAATTAAACTTATTGGAGTTGGCTCGTGACTCGCCCATGCTGATTAATGTGTGGGTGTAAGTGTGTTAGCCAGCTATATGCATATATTTTGAAGTTTATTATTTTTCTTTTTTTTCGGGGCACAGACATTGGTCATTAGATCATTGTGATGACGATGGTGGCAACTTTATGCTAAAAGTAATATATATTATATGCCCAGTAAACAAAAGTTGACAACAAGAAGATATATATGCATGTATGTATGTATGCATGCATGCTTCGCCTCCAATAATGCTTTGCTTCGGCCTTTACATCATGTCTTATAAATGTTGCCTTGTGCCCCATACAATATATCAAACAGGGTTAGAAAAGAATGCACAAATAAATGAATAAGAGGGACACGTGCGTGATGGAGCAAGTAATATTCAAGAAAAACGAGGAGGAGGGGTCATGCGTGTACCTGAGAGACAGGGCATATGGCAGAAAGATTCCTCTTCCAAGGAGAGAACAATATCACCTGTATCAGACCTATTATGTTCCAGCCTGCACCCTCCAATCAAAATCCCCGCACATCATATGGGACCCTCCCCTCCTCCGTCCTCATCTTCACCCGCGTCGCAGCTGATCTTACACCAAGTCTTTCATTTTATCTTCTCCTCTATTTACGGACTTGATTTGTCTGTTGGTGTCATTTTCTTCATGTGCTCTTATCAGCAAGTTTTTTGCTTTTTCAAACTCATGCTCCTGCATGTGAAGGTAGGAGGGAGTTCAGGAGAAAAGCTCTAGAAGGAAGTCAATTCTTAATTTACAACGTTTTAAACCATTGCGAAATCGTGTCCATATAATCATCTTCATTATTTACGCCAAGAGCGTTAGTGTTTTGAAAACTACATCAATCATTTCACCTGCTCATCGCTATGGCCTGGGATAATGTACGTGTAAGTAAATGCAAAAGACCACACCCACCAGAGGGCGACAGGTGGTCCCGATTGACTATTAATAACATAAACTTCTTCAAACCCCACAATTAAATAAAATGAATTCATGACTGCCAATGTTCATATCTGTCCAATTGATGATGGGCTGATCAGGAGTCACTTCCCAGCATCATATGTAACCTTATTGTTATGCTCCTCTTTGATCTTGTTTTATAATGACCATAAAAGTTATCCATAGCAATTCGTTGAAAACCAGTGATCATTGTAGTTCCTTAATTTCATTTAATCACCAAATACTATGTAGCATGCAGGGATAATAATGCTGCCCTTTTTCGATGGAGCTGATACAGACCATCTTTTATTCTATTTACACAAAAAAAGCTCAAGTAATTGAAATTAAATAGCGTGGTCATCACTCATGATCATGATGGATCCATTGATTGGATGACATGCATGTTTAGGCCCTGTATTAAGGAGATCTTTGCTGTAAGGTGTTGTGTGCGAGATTGAACAGGGAGAATGGTAGCATTTATTTGGATCCAAATATAGGCACTCGCCCACGATGATGTGTAGAATTCATAGGATGTGGATTAGGTTGAAGTCGGAATCACCCTGTGTTCACACACTGTTTGGTGTTTACCCGCGGTTCGTCCATTACCTTCTCAGCCTCGTTGAGCTTTCACGTCGTGCCCAAGCCCTAATTACTTGACTGTTTGTCAGTTATCTTTTGCTTTAATATCATCTCACTCGCTGCTAAAATTTTAACACGCGCCATTTGATCTTCTAATGCCAACTCGCGCATGACATGACTGCATGAATAATATTTTGAACTCTGTATACTTATTTTTTTTAGTTGAATCTTTTTATAGATAATGGTCACATTAAGAATTTCGGCATTACTTTTAATTTTTTAATTTTATATAAAATTTTAATTTAATCTTTTAATTTTATAAATTATTTTTTTAATTTTTTAACCCTAATATTATTAGTCTTAAATAATTTTTTTTATATCAATCATTATTATTTTAATAAAATTAAATTTAATATATTAATATTTGAAATTTTAATGTGAAAATTTGTTACGATAAAAGTAATAGTGTTAAGATTAAAAAATTAAAAAGATATTTTATAAAATTAAGTGATTAAAATAAAATATTATGTAAAATTATATGATTAAATGTATATTATAACCTAATCTTTTAACTTATATTTTCTAATATCTGAAATCAGTTATTGTTGGCGGGTGACGTAGTTGGAATGATAAAATATATTCACTGAGTTAAATTTTTTTATTAATTTTATTATTTTCTGGGTTCAAATTGATCTTAAAAACCACGTCAACGGGCTTACCTGACTCAATGAAACCGTGGAGCGTACTTGTTATTTCTGGTCTTGACGTTGATCCAAGTAATATTCACATTATTTTATAGAAATATTTATAATTATTAATGATAGCGATGATGTGGCAGAGAGCTTATTAAAAATTTACTTCCTGAGGTCAAGAAAAGATAATATAAATTGGCAACATGCATTTATTGCTATTCTTCTAATTATGATGGGACGGTTAATCGTTAATTGTCGTTTTCCACTTAACCTTTCGGAGCAAACGTGTAAAACCTACCGTCATCCGAATGTAATTAATTAGCTCCATCTAAGTGGGACACTAGAATGATTACGCTAAACAAAAAGTACTAACATTGGATTAAGAAAAAATAACAACGAAGTACGAATAATTTAACATTGAAAGTTGCTTTTCAGCCTCTTACTCACACGTTGACGGCTTCATTCCCAGATTCGAAATCGTTATATAAAATAGAAAATCTTTCAGCCGGGTCTTCGGACCAGAGAAAAAATGGGTTGATCCGAAGCCTAAATCTGTACTGTTTTGTCATCAACCGCAGGAGAATTCGGAGCA